CCCTGCTTGTTTCTTATCCTATTCCCAATAGAAGCCTCAAAATTGGATCCATTATAATCTGCCATTTTTGCTATTCCCAGCATCTCCTCTGCAGCAGTCTAAACTACTCATACACTCTTTTCTTGCCATTTTTGTTGTTCACTAAGTAGTTTCAGTTCTTCAGTAATCATGCCACCCATATATAAATTCACCTCAACATTTTAAACTTCACTTTTGACAGATGTCACTTTAGGATTTGGTTTTAATGGATGGCTAAAATTGAGATAAACCCCTTTAACAAAGGCTACATTCACGCTGCAGCCTGAAGTGACCAGATATGCAACCTGCATCTGATCTTTTCATGGAAGTCTGAAATTATTTATAGTACACCCAGGGCCATTTGGTTATGTGGTCCTAAATCCGACACACATCTGATCCGACACGCATTTGATCTTTTAAAATGCAACCTGTGTCTGAACAACTGGGTCTCATTCATTCAACCTGCACATCATTAATGCTCAACAAAGGTCAAAATTCTGCATCCTTATATGCAGAAGTGGGAAGATAAACAGCAAGCATGGCAGAAGACAATGCAGAGATTAGTCTTTCTTTTCAACCTTCTTGAAAAGATTGCATTTTTAATGTGCTGGCTCCAATTGGGAAAAAAAAGTAAGATTGCAAAACGTGCTCCACCACTACCATCCATGTTTACTTCTGTAAATACAGTACATGCTCGCTACTTGTGATGTCATTGCATCCTCTACTGCGCATGCAGGACTCTTAAGTTGGATTAATGGAGTAACCCAGCAGATCACATACAAGTCATATATATTTGGAAATGTGACCAACCATGCAAATTAATTGGATTTCACAAAAAAATAAAATAAAAATTGTAACTGAGGATTAAGGCCTGCAATGTGAACAAAGCCCAATATGCTGCGTTGTTTAAACTGGTAACTCTCACCACCCCAAATTATTCAGCATCTAAAGCCAAAGACTACCTACAGTTGAATAAAAAAATCCCAACAGGTTGAAAACATCAAAATCTTGAACACACTGCTCACAAGCTTTCAATGGGAGAGGTACTTTTGTTTTTGTTTGACTGCCGTTTGATTAATAATGCCGATTTCAGATTCGAGATGACATTCTAAGATTACATTTCATAGACTTTTAAACACTATATGTCAAATAAAATGCAGTGACTGTAAAGAGTCACACAGAAAAAAGGTAAAAAAAAAAATGTCTAAATATATAACTACATGATAGACACACTGTCCTGCAAAATACTGCAATATTTAACATTTCTTGTATATTTTAGTCCTCAGATGTATATTCTATGAGCATGGATTGTTAAACTGCTGGTCTACATTGCCACTGACATTTTTAATGACGGTAATCTGTATGGGTGAATAAACCACTGCATGAGGCCACAATATTCTAGTTTACAATAGCTCGAGACAGAAATGAAAGTTTATTTATTGACTCCTACCAAATTCTAATATAGAAGTCTTAAGCTTAGATAGAGACACTTTTCTAGTCATACTGATGACTCAAAGCACTCAACACAATGGTCACATTCACCCAATTGCTTTCCAACACATCACCATCCACCCATATGCAGATCAGTGGGGAACATGGGTCAAAGGAACATCATGCAAATTTAAAAGTTATATATCTATATAGATAGATAGATAGATAGATAGATAGATAGATAGAACTGATAGATCGATATAGATGGATAGTGGGTTATTCTGGTTTTTATTCTCTCTCTGTAGCCAGATAAACAAGAGCAGGCAGCTTCTGTTCATCTGGCATTTTTGTTGAGTTTCAGCCGCTATTTCCTCTCCACACAACTGTTTTTGGAGGATTAATCAGAAAAGAACAGACACTAGTGCATCATAAACCCCTTTGAAGACTCCTCACAAGAGTAAGAGAATAGAACTCTGTCCTGTGCAATGAAAAACGGCCAAACTGGAGTCTGATCAGCAAAGTCCTTTTCTCTTCTCCCATGCATGTGTACAACACTGATGTCATTGCCAGCTTTTGTAAAATATCTAAAACTGTCAAGATGCTCCTTTGGGTGCCTTGCCGAAGGGGAAAATTAAAATGTGAAAGGAGACAGTTGGAATTGAATCTAGAATTTCCAAACTGCAAGAAGACTACTCGTCCAATGGAGCCAGTCCCCCTGACTGTCAGGTTTTGGTTTATTATGCAAGAAAAACAAGTACCAAGGCTAAACTATGGCACGGATCACCATTTTAAAAAACCGTATACCGTAGTACTGACATTCATCATGGCCTGTAGGTAGTACAAATTAAGCAAAAGGTCAAATGTTAGCTAAAAGATGAAGCAGAATAAATTGAATAAATAATCAAAGGGAACATTTTGTGCAGGCAATTTTTTTATTTATACATGTACTGAATTGAGAAAAAAAAAACCTTCAAACTAGGCAAATTATCCACTAAAGGCAGGAAAAACTGTTCTCATCTTTAATTTGCAGGAGGAGTTCCTGTAGCCCCATTAACCACAGTAATAGCAGATACCACATGTCCCCCTAGTTTTCAAAAACAATGCGTTTTTTCATGGAAGATGAGTGAAATGTTTATTTTAATGACGTTCATCAAAGCCCAGAAACTTAAAATGTTATACAATCATAGCAAAATGAAGTCTTTTTTTTTCTCTTTAATGATTCAAAAATACAATTTATCAGTGTATGCAGACAGAGCTTTCCTTTTAATTTATTTCTCTGTTGAGTTTTATTTAACCCTCACTTTGATCATTTAATGCTAAGAAGAACTGCATTAAAGACTGAAGTTCCAAACTCTGTGTAACTCCCCAAATGATCAGGTTACAATGACAAACTTCAATATCAAAACATACATTTACATTTTTTATTTAATAAAAAAAAATATGAATTAGAAATATGAAGAAGTGTGGTGAGTATTTCTATTTAGCTTATGCTCAGTAAAATGAGTCTCTGTGAATACCGATTTTTTAGTATTGCAAAAGATTCAAAAATGGATTAAGTTCTTCATTTCGACCATGACATTCTAACAGATCAATAGCTATTGCTTTGAACCATTTCATTGTATCTTCAGCTAGAGACTTCGGGCTGAAGTTCCATTTAGATGTAAACTTCTGTTGCAGTCTAATGCTGATTCAGTCATTTAAATAAGCAAGAACTTACTTCTCTTTAAGTCTGACCAGCCTTCCAGTCCATAAGGATATGCAACTCATAATAATTGTAAAAACGACAAGTGTCTTCTGCATTTAACCCATGCTGACAAACAAGCCGAGTAATTCTTCACTACCTTAATGTACTTACCATTAGGACCACTTTTTAGGAGAACAGACATGTTTTAAAAAATGTGAAATAGTGCCATGCTCTCTTTTCTTATGTTATGAATTGAACACCACTGTTATAACCTGTTGTTCTACAACCTGACCTGACCTTAGGGGGGGCTGTACTAAGGAAATATCTGTTAGATATAAAGTTTATTAGGTATGCCTGGGCATAATTGAACATGCATTTAAGAGAAATTTAAATTTGCACAATTACCGCCCCAATAATGCCATATAAGGCTTCTACTTCCTACGCTTCTTCATTTGCAGAAACAGCTTTGAAGATTAAGAAGAGAGACGAGAAGAGAGATTGCGGTTCTGATGACTCAGCGCTCCGCAGCAGACTTAAAGGACCAGTAAAAGCCAAGCAGTGGGGAATAAATCACAAGTGCTGTAAAGGATGTGGTTGCATTGTTACAGAAGTAAAAATATCATTAAAAAAATAATTTGATCTAAAAACACTCAATGAAAGCTACTGATGGAGGCAAGAGGTGCAATATATAATATAAATGCTTATTATGAGTTTGCAACCAACCTTTCAATAAATACGCACATCTTTGCTATACATCTTCAGAACCATGGCTGACATCCTTTTATCTCACCTTCAATCTCTACCATAAAACCCATAAACATAAAAATTTTACGGCAAACTGTATTTGATGAACTCAGAGAGACCCAAACAGTCCACATTTAGTGTACTAATGAAGCCAAGGAGTTACCATGGAGTGAATCGAATGCAAGTCTTACCGTTAGGAGTTTGAAGCAGCAAGTTGCTGAACTTTATTCTTAACTTTCAATAAATTATTTGTTCCAGATGTTATTTAAATATTAGCTTGATCTCTGACTTTTCTTTCTTTTCACAAAATAACAACAAATTAAACTAGTTTCCCATGGATACTGACATGCCATCTGTTGGTGTAGTGATCAATAGTTCTGTCATTAGTAAATAAAAGTGTAATTTAGAATTGCAGAGTTGCATAATATATAATAAATGTTGCTGAATATAATAGACAATTGCTCCTGAGTAACAACAAATGTGGTCTTTTGGTTAAAATCCAGGTTTGGATAACAACTGACTGATTGCGCAAGACTCTTATGTAAAGTCTGAAGCGCTCATAATATTTGTTTCTATCAGCGAGAAAATAAAAAATATAAAAACAGAGAATGGGACAATTTCTGCAAAATTTTTGCTAAATTCCTCAATGATTTAAGAAAAAAAAATTTCATAGGAGCTTTTTCATGAGGCCAAATGTCCTTAAAATACACTATTTTTTTTTACCAGCATGCAAGTTCAATAAGGGTTTTAGGACTGATACCTAAAATAATATTCAAGTTAACAAATGTTAACTATGTCATTTGATTGGAATCATGTTTCCTTTTGTCTGGATGTGTTTTGTTATGTCTGTCCAATGTGAATAAATTAATGTTTATATATAATAATATAATATAATAATTAAACATTATTTCCTTTTTTGGGGTGTTCTTTTTTTTTCTTTAATTGAAAATAAAACTGGCGCTGCCTCTGTTTTATAAAAATCTCTTAATCACTTATACACAATAAACAGGGCAATATTTTCTGTCGTGGTCTTTAATCATATTGTAATATGTTCTTATTCCCAAGCGTGCCATGAGCTATACATTTCAATTAGAGCTTTGCCTTTATGTGAAATTCTACTCACTTATCTGGCCTGCCGGGCACCTGCAGGCGTAAGCGACACTTGTTAGCACATTGGATTTGTTCTTCTTTGATGCGGATAAGCCTCTGCAGAGCCAGACACCAGTCCTGGGACACAGTGGTGTTCAGGTTCTTTGAAAGAAAGACATACAAATGTAAAACTACACATTTCTAGTGGATCATAACGCATACAACAAATATGTTACAAGCATAATAACCAAAGGTACATAATATAGATGTTCACATTAATAAGGCACTTTTAGTTTTTGCAAAACCTGCAGTGCATTATTTGAACCAATATCCTTCAAATAATAAACACTACAATCCTGTTCATTCACTCAAATATGACTGAATTTATTTCAGCCCTGAAATCCATTTTATAGTAAAACCTGGACCCTGAAGTCAAACAGAATGAAATCAATTTTGTGCAGCAAATGAGCTGTGTAGAAGTATTTTGTCTTTTTCTGTTTTTTTTTGGCAACAGACAGTATTATAACCAGGTGAAAAGGAATATCAGCCATTAAATTCCAGGCCAGCATCACTTCTCCTGGGGACACTGTGCTCATTAAGAAGTCCAGGGAGGCAAAAGTGCAACCATTAACCAGTGAGAATCAGGTGATTGCTGAATTTTTTATTGTATGTAGTGCTGTAAATATGATACCAGAAATTTATTGGGAAGAATCCTGATTTAAATACTACAGGAAGTTGTCATGGTTTCTTTTGTATCAATAGGAACATCTCATTCCCACCCTTGTGGCACTATTATTCGGTAAAGAAGAGAATATTTATTCAGTCTACACCTGAATAATTTGAAAAACCACAAAAGGTAGTGTAGGGTTTTGATAAAATCTGTAAAATCTATTTTTTGGGAGTGAAAAAGCTGAAAAGTGTATCCCTTAATGTTCCACATTTCTATTTATTATTCATAAGGTTGGAATCTTAAGTGTTTAAAGGAATATTGTCATGTTATATGCCCGAACAAAAAAGACCAAAAAACGTTCAGTCGTGAGACATTTAGTTATATACACCAAGAATATGTTCTGATAGTGTTTATATAATATTTTTTGAGCCAAAATAGATTTCATGCACCGCATGCGATGAGCACTTAAAAAGCAGTACCACAGAACTATCGGAAAGCTGCCGACAATAACACAGCCAAATGCAAATAAGGAGAAAGCATCAAGGTAAGAATTAGTTCATCAAAATAAATAAAGTCATAGACTAAAACCTTTTCATTGGAATTGATACAAAATGAAACACCAAAATACTAATTCCTGGTAGGTGCACTATTGATCAGACCCACATTTATTCTCTTTAGTCAATCAATAAATCAATGTATAATGTCCTTTGGACTATAAACTAAAACATAAAATAGCAATACTATCACTATTAGAGGTGAGTATTGGCATGAGTGTTGCGATTCAATACATGTCGCGATACTTGGGTCACGATACGATATTATCACGATATTGCAGTATCACTATATATTGCCATATTTTCCCCAGCTATCAAAATCAAATGATGAGATAAAACAGCAAGTGCTGTATATTTTCATCAGAAAATATTGATTAGGTATTATTATCCATGTTGTTTGGGGTTTTCTTCCACTGTGATTGCCTCAAATACAGATTTGGTGCTGCACGCACAGTTAAAGGGCTCCACAGCGCTTTCTGCCAGAGTGGCGGTGCAGAGGTAGCCCATTTTGCCATCAATGTTTTATGTAACCATTTTTTTTTTGAAAATCGATACTAAGAAGTGAAAGATCGATATTATATCGGGCAGCCGAATATCACGATATATCGCCAAAACGATTATTTCCCACACCCCTAATCACTAGTATCAGCATGTGGACATGTGTTCAAGTATCAAACAACTTAGCAGCAACAGCTGAATGCCTCTGCAGTTTTAGCTCCTGCGTTATTGAACAGCAATGTACATGATGTATTCCAAGTACTATTTCAGTCTCATCCCTCTTAGAATAAAATAAGTTTTTGCTCTCTTTCTCAGTTTGGACTTATCTTTATTATTAGCTTGCTCGCATCCATTACTTAGGCTTGTTTACCTAATATGCACAATGTTGTACACAGTGATATTTTAGTTAATTTACAGAAAATGACCCTATTTCCTATTAAACTGAGCAAAACAAAGTGTGGAACACAAAAACATCAAGTAATATTAAAGTAGGAAACATACACTGCAAAAACGATCTAGAAATAAGTAAAAAAAAATCTTAAATTAAGTGTATTCACCCTTAATTTGAGTAGGTAAATGAGATAGTTTGCCAATGGAATGAGTAATTTTACTCTTAAAATAAGATAATTAGATAATATGCACTTGAAATAAGACAATGCAATTGTGTTTTCTTATTTTAAGTGTAAATTGTCTTGTTCCATTGGCAAAATGTCTCTTTTACCTCCTCAATTCAAGAACAAATGCACTTATTTTAAGAAAAAATTACTTATCTAGATTTAGATTTTTTGCAGTGTATATATAAACAGAATGAGCAACTGGCATATACATTTGAAAGATATACAATAGTACTAACCCCCTTTAAGGGATTTTTGTATTAATAATTTCTTTGCCTATATTCATCAGTTTTTTCTGAGGTTTTAAAGATTTTGTGAGGTGATCTTTAGCAGGTAAAGTCTCATAGTTCAAGCATCTTCATTTACTATCTCTAGATTTCTTGATCATGCATGATTTGTGATGCTGAAAGCACTCTTGGCAGATGTCAGATTAATGCTTCCAGTCTCTCTCTTAGTGTTTTTCTCACAGGCCAAAAATAGTAGGATACACATTCTGGAACAACTTAGCCTTTGCACTGATGTGATGCATGCGAACAGAACAGATTGTGTTCTGATGATCTGAGTAGTTTTAAGCTTAAAACAATCACGTCTAAGACTTTGCAGCTTGACTAATGTTGGTCTTTAAAATGTTTGCGATTAACTCTAGAAATGTAGATTTGACATACCTGATATGTCCCTTGAAGAGTCCCCACAAGCAAAGTAACCTCTTCCACAACTGATAGGTCATGCTGAAGTTCCTGCAGCTCCTGGTACAGCCGTGGAGGACCGAGGAGAGCTTTTCCTGGAGGATAGGCAAAACGGAATATAAGTGTTTGAGATTGTATCAGATAATGTATATTGCAATACATACCAGAGGCAGACAAAATATTGTAAAACTATTGAGGCGCTTTCCTTGAACAGATAATTAGTTTGACATAAAAACATTAAAATGCAATTAAATTTACATTATTCAATATTTTTTTAAATTTTAAATGTTTCCTGGGTGTAAAATAATAATTACAAGGTTAAGGTCAAACTGTTCCATAAAAAAGAAATGGCAGCCACTGCCTTATAAAACTAATAGGGGTGCAGGAAGTGAAGTTTCTTTGGTTGAAACTCCAGTGGGGATTAATAAAAGAGTTTCAGTGCATAGATGGATCGATCACCATTATTTGTTGAACTACAGACTGAATTTATGAGTAAAGAAAAAAAAAATAGATGGAGAAACTGTTATTTGGGACTATGATGCCCTTTGCTGGCCAAAGAAAATGCAGGTGTCTCATTAGACACAAAATTCAGCATCGATTTGAGGTCCGCTGCCTTCAGAGTCTTTCTCTCCTAGTACCAGGAATCAATACCCACGTCTCCTCCTGTCTGCCATCCCCCGTCCCAGCTCCCATGGTCTACATTTCTCCAGCAGCAAGCTCTGAGAGGGCTGCCTAATTAAATTCTGCAGGTAGATTTTGCTCCAAAGCGGCCCTGCACTGTCTCCGCTGCCACATAATAAAGTAGCAGGAAAGGCGAGTAGGTCGGCAAGTTTAGTGAGGCATGCTCATCCGAGGGGACCTGCAGCTGTTTTGCTATTGCCGTGCATAAATGGAAGGAGAGCAGAGCCATAAGAGCGACAAGGAAGAGAGGGAAAAATTGAAGAGAGGGCTGGTGTTATTCATCTAAAGAGCTCCACAGTAGCTTTGGGGTTTTAATAGGATCTTTGACACTGGCACACAGTGACATCTGTCATCTGCTCAAGCAAATCAATAGGTGAGACATCTGAATATAAAAGGGGAGTACTGCGTGCTGAAAGACCAATATTGTGTTCTTCAAAGGGATTGCCTGGACCCCTGTATAGTTTTAGCAAGTCTTTCTGGGCCTGCCGCTGGCTACAACCCAAGAGGTGAATGTGCTGAGTTGTAATCCACCATAATCCCGTTGGTGAGGCAGGATATGGTTTATACACTAAGACCTGACTATCCTCACTGGCCACCAGGCACATCATTCACTAGTGTGGAAGGCCTGAGCCCAGAGAGGTCCATCCTCACACTCATCTACTGTGCCAGGGATGCTTGTGGCTGTAGAGACAAAGCAGCTTCAATGCTTGTATCAGAACCCTTGTCTGATCCCCAGCCAAACCCTCTGTTACACAAGTAATAAGAAAAAAAAAAAAACCTGCATTTATGACAATGGGTCACATGGGAAGTAGGAATGAAAAGGGGTGAAAGAAGGCAATGTTAGAGAATAAATAGGTGCAACCGGCTTTAAGGGAAAACACATCAACATTGTTTGGCTCTATGTGTATTGCAAGATACAGACAAGAATCCTAACAGCAACACTAAGAAAGAATGATGGAAAGGTTTGAGGGAAAAAGACAGACCTGCCTGAAGGCAAGCTTTTTATATAAGGAAAGGCATGAGAGGCGGCGGAAAGTGATAGATGATTCTATTTGAAGTTGCGGTAAGGAGTGAAGGCATGTCAATGAGGCACTGCTGAATGACATAACATGTAAATGGAAGGTACTACAAAACTAAAGATTTGGCAAATGGTGCAGCACATTTTTGGATAGACTTGCTGTGAAAATGGTCAGCAAAAGAAGAAATTCAGCGTCTCTGAGAACCATCCAATTTTTTTGTAGTAACAGAAAGTTGTAGGAAGCTGCTCTGAGAGCTAATCCTAAATGATCCCAAAACCTTGCAGCAAAGCTGTAAGGATATGAGTATAAACTACCTGAACAAAAGGAGAAAAAAACTAAATCCTGTGGGAATATAAACCAGCTCTTAAAAGAGTAGGTGCTTACTGAGCGTAACACAAGGAGCACCGCAGAAGGCGCCATTAATATTTAAGTCATGGAGTGGCAACTTTACAAAGTGTGCTGCATTACATCCCGATAAGGCTTTGTTTCTTCCTTTTCCCATGGCACATTTATCAGGGATCTCGTCAAGCTCAGTACACACCCGAGTTTTGTGAGAGGTGGTGGGAGAACTAGTGTTTCAACCACAGATTCCTATCTGCCGCTACTGGCTCTCTAATTGGTCCTAGAAAGCCAGGGAATAATCTCGACAGATTGATGACTCCTCTCCAAACATGTTTGTGGTCTATCAGAGAGTGAAATGAGACAGTGAGGATGATACAGCTAGGGGCTCCCTACCCCAGCATCACTCTCCAAGATAAAACACCGCAGGCAGACAGGAACAAGTGACCATCATCACTATCCCCCTCACAAACACATTCTCAATCAGAGTGACAAGCAGCATGACTGCATCTCCACCCCTCCATCTCCTCTCTCCACTTGAGAACAGGAAAAGATTAGCCTTGCTGACTCAGAGAAAAAGGCTGGGACTAACAGTCAGCTAAAGTGATGAAATTAACCATAGAGGGACACATAGGGAAACGTTATAGGGGCACAAGCTGATATATTCATCGTTACCTGAATTGCAGGCACCACTTGGCCTCTTAGGCCCACTATGCTGAATCAAAGTGTCTTTGCTTTGGGAGTTGTCCAGGCCAACCTCTACCACTTGCACATGCTGAAGGGGGGCGTTCCACTTCATGGTGTACTTGGGACCAATGGGAACAAGGCTGCTAACATCTGGAGGTCCTCTGTAAAAGGTATTAAAAAAAGCATCTGAAAAGTTACAAAATCCATCCATCCATCCATCCATCCATCCATCCATCCATCCATCCATCCATCCATCCATCCCTCCCAACTGTAACATTTTCCTCAACACACTAAAAGAAATTAGATGAAAAATAGGTCGGTTAAGGTTTTATGATGTTTTTTAGTTGATTTAATGGCTGTGCAAACTCTAAAAACATTTAAGTTTATTAGGGGCACACCTGTGGTCCAGAGGTAAAACGATTCTAGTTTAAAATGCAAGTATCACGCCTTGAATAAAAGAAAAAGGCCTTGTGAAGATCCTGACTAAAGCTGGAGAGAGAGTCTCTTTATCTACAGTAAAATTAGTCCATCAACATTGGCTGAAAGGCCACAGCGCACAAAGTAAACTTTTTCTTTTCCCAAATGGAACATTAAATGTGAAGGTCACGTTTGCAAGTGTGCAACGAGATAAACAACTATGTGATTAAATGTCTTCAGAACTGATAAACCCAAATCTGATAAAACATTTTAAAATATCTGGCCATTTTGCATACTATTACACTTGGAAGATCAAGGGGATCGCTTGTGTCAGGAATCAGGAAGGAAGTAAATGCTTGGACATAGTTGGTTATTATAAAACACCAAGGATCCTAAATATTCAGAAAATTAGCTTTGAATAAGCTGTAAGATAAAAAAACAAAAAAACAAAAACAAAACAAAAAAAACATCAAAATAGTACAGTTTAACTTTTTAATTCTGATTGTTTGTTGGTAAGTGTATTACAGGTCCTTCTCAAAATATTAGCATATTGTGATAAAATTCATTATTTTCCATAATGTAATGATAAAACTTGAACATTCATATATTTTAGATGAATTGCACACTAACTGAAATATTTTAGGTTTTTATTGTCTTAATATGGATGATTTTGGCAGACAGCTTATGAAAACCCAAAATTCATATCTAACAAAATTAGCATTTTTAATTCGACCAATAAAAGAAAAGAGTTCTTAATACAAATAAAGTCAACCTTCAAATAATTCTGTACAGTTATGCACTCAATACTTGGTCGGGAATCCTTTTGCAGAAATGACTGCTTCAATGCGGCGTGGCATGGAGGCAATCAGCCTGTGGCACTGCTGAGGTGTTATGGAGGCCCAGGATGCTTTGATAGCAGCCTTTAGCTCATCCAGAGTGTTGGGTCTTGTATTTCTCAACTTTCTCTTCACAATATCCCACAGATTCTCTATGGGGTTCAGGTCAGGAGAGTTGGCAGGCCAATTGAGCTCAGTGATACCACGGTCAGTAAACCATTTACCAGTGGTAGGTGCAAGGTTGTGCTAAAAAATGAAATCTTCATCTCCATAAAGCTTTTCAGCATATGAAAGCATAAGGTGCTCAAAAATCACCTGATAGCTAGCTGCATTGACCCTGCCCTTGATAAAAAAAACAGTGGACCAACACCAGCAGCTGACATGGCACCCCAGATCATCACTGACTGAGGGTACTCCACACTGTACTTCTGGCATTTTGGCATTTCTTTCTCCCCTGCCTTCCTCCAGACTCTGGCACCTTGATTTCCAAATGACATGCAAAACTGAGCAACAGTTCAGTACTGCTTCTCTGTATCCCAGGTCAGGCGCTTCTGCCGCTGTTTCTGGTTCAAAAGTGGCTTGACCTGGGAAATGCGGCACCTGAAGACCATTTCCCGCACATGCCTGTGCACAGTGGCTCTGGATGTTTCTACTCCAGACTCAGTCCACTGCTTCCGCAGGTCCCCCAAGGTCTGGAATCGGCCCTTCTCCAGAATCTTCCTCAGGGTCCGGTCACTTCATCTCGTTGTGCAGTATTTTCTGCCACACTTTTTCCTTCCCACAGACTTTCCACTGAGTTGCCTTGATACCTCATACCCTCCAAAATCATTAAGACAATAAAAGACCAGAAATATTTCAATCTAAAAGATATGTTTTATCATTATATCATTATTTTATCATTATATTATGGAAAATTAACTTTATCACAATATGCTAATATTTTGAGAAGGACCTATATACCTTCTGTCTGATTGTTTTTGTCCCAGTCACACCTGAATTTCTTCAACAGGGGACACTAAGAGCATATCTTATCTCATCTTCTCTTATCCCATCTCATCTGGAGTGACCATCAAAAAAAACCTTATTTGTTTGGTATTGCAAAATTAATTGAAGAGCTAAAATCTATTTTGTAATTAGGTAAGTTATACATCTCACAAATCTGAGTCCTTTACACCTGTTCTGTTAATAGGACAGGGGACAAATATCATCCAAATATGGAAACCATGTAGAACTAGAGATGCTAATTTCCCTTCACATTATGACCTCCACCTTAAGTAAATACAAAATATTACTGGATCCAGATGGTTATATTGATCATCACCAAAATGTAATCTTTTGTTCTGAGTCACAATACTTCTTTGAAAATTTCAGCAAAATCCAGCAATAGCTTTTCTAGTTATTTTGAAAATAGAGAGACTAACTAAAGCCGAAGAAAACATAACCTCCTTGGTGGTAGTAAAAATGCCCAAAAAGTCCAGTTCAAGGGCCAAATGCCAAAAAATATGTATGTGAACATTTGAATTTGTTAAAAAAAAATAAAGCAATAAATATGCATCATTCTATTATGATCATGTCATTTATCTTACTTTTTGACAAAGTATCTGATAGTAAGAAAAGCCTTTTTTGCTTTAAAAAAACATTTCCTCAGGTGGATTTCATTGTTATTCGTGTATTCAGGACAAAGATCAACAATGTGATCATTTTTGTCAAGTTCCTGGAGGGCATACTTTGTAAGCCTCTGGATACTTGTCTTGAAGTAAAACGCAGAATGATAATATCCTTTCGGGAGGTGCAAAAGACGGCTTCAAGTTACATCTTTGACAGGGACTTCGCTGAAGTAAAAAGCAAAAAAAAAAAACGACTTTCTCTGTTTACAACTTGGGAAAGAGAGACAGGGAAGGGAGAGATATGATCAATGGCAGTGACAAGAAAGATAAATAGCAAATAAACTAAAAAATGTTTTATGTCAGTAATCTGAGACTCCTCAAGCTGTTGTTAGGGATTCTACCATTTGTTTAATGCTGATAAAGCTCCTGCAACTGAAGATAGTGCTGAAAAAGCCCTTGCAGTGTTTTCACTTAACTGTGTAGTTTGCCAAATTATGTTTGCAAAACCTCAGGCATCACATAGGGTCCATGTGTAATCAAATATTATATTTGTGCAAAATGTGTAGTTTATTTGGCTTCCTTTTAAAATGCACATGTGATTTTATGCTTCATCTTAAAATTAGGTCCAGATAAGCTAAGTTTTCCTGAACACATGTGTGACTCAATTTGCTTGATAACAGGAACTTACTTGACATTTATATTGGCACAGATGAGCACATCATCAAAAAGGAAGACCTTTCTCTCCTTCGACTTCAGGACTTGTCCCCGCTCTCCATAAACAGTCTCAATAAGTGTCTCACAAAGGACCAGTGACCTCTGCTCCGAGCTCAGTTGCTAAAAGGGACACAGCAATCAGATCAAAGGCAGAGGAGACAGTATCACAAAGCTCCAATCCTCTGGAGCACAGTGCCTGGAGGACAGAAAAGTCAAAAGAAACCGTATCTCTTCTGGGATTAGAAAAACCATTCATTGTACTGAAGGTCACGAATCTGTAAGCATGTATACACACAATTACATGCAGACAGCATAGTTCATTCAGTTAACTTCATTGGAAAAAGATTACACTTGCCCTTTGATAGGCTTTCTTGTTACAAACGTATCTGCACAGTGGTTATAGAGGAACCTTAGGGAAACATTTAATTTATTTGAGGTTGTGCATTTGAACAAAATGCTTGTAATTCTCAAAACGAAAAATTATAATATATCCTTTTGACCATGTTCTTTATTGCATTTCATCTACTCTTGCAAAATTAAAAAAGGACTGGCTTACAGGCGTTGGGACACAATTCTTTGTACCACAACAACAGAGCTACTACAAAGACCAATCGAGTCACTGTTGCAAAAATATATTTTTTCACATATTCATTAATAAAACTGATATTTGAATGAACAGCACATGCTGTTTTTATTTTCAGAAATTCATATGTTAGGCAAAGAAAGAGAACAGCTATAGGTAGTTGCTTTAGTGCAACCGTGTTGTGACAGCTTAAATTAATGAAGCATTTTTACCTCATGGTTGTTCTTAGGCCTAGTTAAGAAGGGATACATTTAAAAAAAACTATTTATTTTAAAAAATGGCTCATTGTGTTTTAGAAAAAAAGGAAATTAACAAAAATAATAAACATTACACAGAAAATAAGAAAAACATTAAAAGAATAACTTTAAAATTAGCAGATATACAAGAATTACTCATAACTATTTAAAACTTGCTAAGATAGTATTTGAGCTTAATGGATGAGCTACATTCAAACAATGTTGTTTAAAATGTTTCATAGACAACACCAGAGCAATGATTTACAGACTGGTTAGACTCTTGCAGTAGCTTCTGCATTTACACTTGTCTGCCTTTTTGAATTTCTTTTTTATGTAAGGATATAAATAATAAAGCTATTTCAGCAATATAAACTACAGGAAACATGCACTTGTTTGTATATTCTGTTTTCGGAGGAAACTTTGCTGCCATGGATTTTAATAGTAATGATAATTAATTAATAGATCTTAGAGGCATGATCTAATTATAGTTTTAATGTATAGAAACACCTGCTTTCTGTTGCACTCTTTTTTAACTTTATTGAGTCTAGCTGAGTTATAACCTTCAGCCCCATACTTCAGGGTAAAAAAAAAAATGTGTTCTGACTTCTGTATTAGTGTGGAGAAATTCTGACCTATTTACTGACTAATACTATGAATATACTTCTCGGTGACGCTTGGTGACTAGTATCCAAGTTATGTCTTTAGCACACATATAGTAAGGAATCTCTAGCTGATTATAATCTGGGCTGAGGAAGGCATAAATTCTGCATACAAGCTGCCAAAGAACATATCCTTTCATCTATCTTTATTCTCCCATTCTGCAATGTTTGTTAAATTACACTCATAACTTCATGTTCTCCCTGCTTTTGTTGTCATAGTAGCTTCATCTGGTCTGCTCCTGTAGACTGTTGACTCCATCCTGGAGTGAAATATCAGCAGGGCTTCCACAATCATCATCTTTGTTTATAGATGTTGGAGCTTGGCCTGGTTTTCAGTGTAGTGCTGTTTCTCAGACTGTGACTAACTGTATGTGTTCTCTTTCATCGTCTGACATAGGAGCTGGATCTAAGCTCATCTACTTGGCTGTGTCTTTCCTGGACGGGCCGCCTGTGGAGCTAGCTAACAGTTACTCTTTGTATATCTGCTGCTTTTTATCTGTTTTGTATCTCATTGACCCCTAGTTGGACTGAGCCTGGTCCTGCTGGAGGTTTAATCCTGATAAAAGGGAGTTTTTCCTCTCCACTGCCTCTATATGCATGCTGGATTTGACAGAGAGTTTGTCGCCAGAAGTTGATCCAGGAGGAGCATGTCTTGCAAGTCAATGACTCAATGCAATTAACTGGTTTTCCTTCACAGAAACTTTTAACCATTCTGACTGTATTATCTATGTAAAGTGCTTTGAGATGCAATGTGTTGTGAGTTGGTGCTATATAAATAAACAGAATTGAATCCTTAAAGGATTCTCAAAATTACTCACTAACATAGGATTTTACAAATCAGGTAATATTTAATAATTATAGATTGATTAACTAAATGCAAAACAAACTAATTGATTCCAGTCAACAATGATTATAAAAAATATGTAAAGCTAAATTACAAATGCTTTGTTTTTAAAAGCAGAGTACACCCATGGTTTTAAAAGAGACATTATGTTTGGCTCTATCAGTCTTCAAAATAGTCCTGTGGATTTAGGATTTAGTTATCTTAACATTACCTAAGATAATCTGATGTAGTTTTTTTTGTGTAGCTAGAGCAGTTTGCTTTCAGTGGTTTAGTCCCCCCACACCATTTAGAACAGACTATGCTCAATACAACGTTTAGTGGATATTTCAACCTCCAACTCTAACAGCTTAACACAACTCCTGCTTTTATAAAAAGGGGTTAGACTTGCTGACCATCATTTCATAAAGTGTGTTTGATGAGTAGTCTTTGGCTGCACCTTTACTTTTTTGAAGCAAAAAGAGGAGATTTTGAAGATACGGCTTCATATTGATGACACTCTGAAAGATGTGTGCTTTTAAAAATCTGATCTTTCTTTAAATTTTAAAATGTGGTAAAGACCAATGTTTGACTTTCCTCAGCCATGGGTACTAGGAAACGTCTTTCACTCACAATGTCCAATTTCTATTCCAAACATAATTTTAATTTCATTAGGTTTAATTCAAATATGGAAATAAAACCTTGATACCTTATTATTAAAAAAAAACTGCTTTTGAAATGCAAATTAATTCAACTGAAAGACGTTACAAAATAATTAATCAGGAAAGTTAAAATGAGCTTTCAGTTCACAACTGTTGCAGTGAATAATATTCATCTTTATTCTTCAGAGTATCAGTAGCCATAAACCTCACTGCAAACTGTATCTGCATGTATGATGATGTGATTACATGTATGGCTGGGTGAAAAAGAAGAATATTGTTTCTTAAATATTTTTAGTTAATCTTCTAGTGAGCAGGAGGCAAAGAAAACCTTTTTTTTTATTGTTTATACGAGTGACCCATTTACTCATTGGAAATCTGCAATATCAGTGCTGCAACTGGAAATCTGTGTGAGAAGAAAACTTTGTATGGATCGGCTCCTCTCAAATTGCTGAAAACAATGACTGATACAGGAAAAAGAAAAAAAGGGAAGGAAAGCAAAGAGTTATTAAAAAGAAAAAAGGGAGGATGGTCGCAGTTAAAGAGGAGATGAGTAGTAGGTGAAGTACTTAGTCGAGTAAGCAAGTAAACAAGAGTGTGTGGGGGAGGGGTGGGGGGGAGTCAAAGCGTAGTGAGACCGACAGGGCGAAAGAGATAGCTCTCTTACAGTTTCCAATTAAATGTCTCATTTACCCCCTAATTCTTCTTATTCAGCGCCGCATTTGTTCAGATTTGCAGCAGCAGGGCTGTAATTTTAGTACGTAATGGAGAAGCAGTGCCCCTGCCTTTGCATGTGGTACTGTTTAGGGATGATAATAGGCACCATTTCTGAGAGATGATTTCTCTAAATAAAAATGCCACCTATAATTAATGCGTTGGAAAGTGATATAAGTAATGCACTATATATTAGTGAAATGTCCAGGTGTTTGGCTCCCAGTGATAACACCACAGATGAGCTGTAGGGTTCAGATTCTGGCTCACAGGTGATTACACAGGGGGAGATGTGTGTGTATGTACATGTGCATGTCCAGGTGTGTGAGCAACTGCATGTGCATCCAGTCACCTTACTGAGCAGGCGATCACTGACGCTGCGGGCCAATTGTTGAGTCTCCGCAATCTGGTCAGCTACTCTTTTCTGTTCATTCAGCTTCTCAGCCAGCGTCTCTAGCTCTGTCAGTGCGAGCTGCAGGGGAAGACGATCCACATGGCCCTTTGGTGTGTTTTTAAGCATGTCCTAAAAAAAAGTCACAAAGGAAAGCAGCTGCTTAGTTTCACCATTGCTAAGACGCTCATATATTTTTAGCTTTTTTAGTGAGCTTTGCCTTTATATAAAACTCTGGAAAGTCACATATGGCAAGTGATAAAGATTTGTTCCATGGATGTTTTATACATTTTAATAATATTACTCTGTCAATAAAACTTTGTAGATTCCAATTAAATTTAACCTCTGCATTTTCTCCCGTCCTAGGAAGCAATTTGCTACCATTGTACAGCACCATGCAGGGAGTACAGTATTCTGGGGCTAAGGGTCTTACTTAGGGGCCCAAAGTGTTAGTCTATAGGATTTGAACCAGCATCCCATTTTGACCATGACTATCCTCAAATGCTATGCAGATTAATAACTGGCCCCTGGTTTCTTACCAGGAAAAAATACATTCCATTTACAGATGCTATCAAACCATGAAGCATTTGCTCCCAGGCAATCATTAACAAAATGTATAATTCATGCAAGGCAATATTTCATAAACACTCTATTCTTTAGGGTTCCAAGCCTGCGGACACAGGCAAGGGCCAACAGTTAAGGCTAACCTGTGAGCAGGGGTCTTTAGAGAGGCACATTATCATATTTTTAAACATTTATCACATCTTCTATTAATTTAGACATTTCTTATTCAACAGTCAAGAAAAAACGAATTAACTAGAATTTGCAAACAGCAGAAAAAAATAGTGTCTCATAGAAATATTTCAATTTCTTTCTGATTTAGGAAGAGATTTCAGGAAGGGAGTGGCAGCCTAGTGGTTAGGGCATAGAACTTGGAATCCTGAAGTTCTGAGTTCGAGCCCCACTTGTTTTATTAAGTGAAGTTAGTCACCATGAATGGATGGATGGATAGCAAGAAATTGTACTCAATTAGGCATAGTGAAGTACAACACTGTAAAACTACTCTTTTATACTTTTTTTTTTAAGTTACTCAATTAAATGTAGTTGAATAAATGTAACTACTATCCACCTCTGATTTTGAGGAGTGCTGTGGAGCACCTAGATACTTTATGAATACTAACATAATTGCCATATATAAGATCCATGAAACAGAGGGTGAATCTTATGAAATACAAGAAACAAAAGAACATATATTATACAATTTAAGCTGGAGATGGAAGTAAACCAGACTGAAAGGCTGACAATTCCTCCTTACTCAGAAAATTAAGGCTAACAAGTTTCAATCCAACTGTAACATTAAAACTCAGGGCTCGCACAACAAAGATGTTTCACTGACTCAAGTACACACAAATTACAGTGAGACCAGGTCAAAGTGATCGGATCATAAATCAGTAAATTAACTCCTACATGATAAATGGAAAACCATTCACTAGGAATTTTATGACTTTATATTTTTTCCATTGTGAAACAGCAAATACATTGCTCCCAAAAAGACAAACAAATGAGAGTTATATGTGTCAAGAAAGAAAAAAATCAATAAAAGGTTTTGTTTTATTAACAGATGAAGTGCCGGATACTATATATAGGGAGTGAATGTAATGTCACTTATTGAATTATTACAGCATTTTAACCAAAATGGTTCTGAGGATAATTTAAAGCAAAGCACATCTTTTTTTTTTAGCTGCATGAGTATGAGCAAAGCTTTAAAGTCTTAAAATATGAGATAATAAACTAAACTCAACCCAGATATAGAGAAAGTGTGGACATATTTTTTTAAGGCTAACAACCTGATGTAAGTTTCATGGATTTTCGGAAATTGTATGAAAACACATTGTTACAAAAAAGGATTTTCTGTTCATGGTTTTGATTTGTATCTGTATTCTACAGTATATGCCATTCTGGTAATAAAAATTTTCTGAATAGTAGTGTTTGTTTAATTCACAATGAAATTTTAAAATTTAGGTCAAATACACCAAGTTTCTGACTATGGGTGTCAAACTTTCAAAGGAATTTCTCAACTAACTCAACATCAATCTCAATATCAGGACATTTGGGTATTGTGTAAAGTTTTAAAGAGATCAAATCATATTCACAGAGTGAACAGAAACTACATGTTTTATGACTTCCCCATCTGTACTTCCTATCTATACCTGTAACTATGACCCCATGAAAAGCTTGTTCTTGTCTTGATAAGCAGCTCAGGTGTACCTTGTTGCCTTCACATCTACTTCCCTGAAATGTATGATTAAATAGATACACTTCATCTTTGAAGCACTGAGTTTTACTTGGAAGAAAATTACTGATTCGTATTCATAACTTATCTTTTGAATTCATAGATAATCAATGCCTACTGAGGGATGAAATGAGCTGCTGCAGATACAGCAAGTCAAGCTCAAATCCAAATCTTTTCTCAAAATAGAAAATGGAAGATGGGCATATGAATCCACAAGAGGGGGGACAGTTGTTGCCAGCTTCCTTTAAAGCTCCACCTCCCTGAATGATGTGTATGAAGAGTTGAAATACAACCTCTTGTTGTCTGCTTAAGTAAAATATTATAATACATTCTTCTATTCTCAGGCCCTGCAGTTTAATTTTGTACTGTGAAAAAAAATTCCCTAGCTTCCAACTTTAAAAACAGAGCTCCTAAGGCTTTGATTGCAGAAAAAAAGAAGTGAAAACTTCTGCTACCTGCAAGAGCAAAATGAACTGGGGGAATCGCTGAATGGGCTTCACCATCAGTCCATACAGAGTTATCCGGTCGACACTGGAGGCCTGTTTTCTCTGAAACCAAAGAGAAGAGCAGAAAGTGCAAAAGGTAGTTAGAAATGCATTCTGTTACTTGAAGAATTACAAGAACAATTTTGAACTATGAGGTACTTTTATTTCTCCATAGACCTGTGTATGTGTGAGACTATGTGAAATAAACGCATAGGAAAAGTTAGCTCTTTCTAACAGATTCCCATTGGACATAATAGAAACAGGATTTCTTTTTTAATTAATAAAATAAAATTTTGAGTTGCAAACTCTATATACTCTAAACTCTAAATACCCATAAAGCTATGGTCACAACCCTTTACAGTACAATCCTTTTGGTTTATGTAAATGAAGATGCATTGAAGGAGAAAGGAGTCAAAGTTGGAATCAGGGGGCAGAGACAGATTGAGTCTTGCAAAATGGAAAAGGAAATAGCACTTTTTTAGAAAAAGCAAAACCTTTATATAGAAAAGATCTTTTTCTATCTTAAATTAAAGCAAAAAAACAAAACAAAAAAAAACACATTGGTACATCTGGGCCTTTTATTCCCTTCTACAAATTAATATAAAGAGCATCCTGAAATCCAGTGTATGGAAAAAAAAAATCTTCAAGCAGAAGACAATAAAGGCTGGATCTAACTTCATTTTTGTCAAAGAAGCTCTTACTATAGTACACATTTAGGCACCTGATTTTCTAGATATATGAATGGAAAAGGCTTGTGTGTATAAAAAGACACGCAAACGTAATAGCATGCACAAAGCTTATTTACCAACCTGGTGCTAAATGAATGTGAAAATGTTTTTGCATGTCTGCCTTCATGAATATACAGATTATATGCATAAGTTTATTGGAGAAGGATATGACATGTAAATACTTGCCACCAGCAAAGCCATTTATCAATCCTCAAAGAGATTGTGGGTGCATTTTTTGTGTCTATATTTTGCACATTAGAAAGCCAAATGCAAACTCTCATGCAAAAATCTCTGCGTGTTGTTGCAGCAAAAGAAGGGATGGTACAATGATTAACAATGGAGACATGGTGAGCATGCATGCCTACATATTTGGACCATCAGAAATAATAGTAATCGAAGAAGGGAAAAACAAATATGTTATCTATTATGCACGTAATCTTGCAGCACACCCACATATTGCAACTGCAAGTTTCTAATTGCGATGTAGTGCTCCTAATTTGAAATATTTAAAAATCATACCCTTTAGTGTTTCCTGTTTTTCATGTAAAAATTCATTTCCAAACCACTGAATGTGTCTTTTATGTTGAGCAATCAAAAAGCGTAGAAGTTGTTCTTAAGCCAGCTGACTAGCAGTGCAAAGTACCAGCTGGGAGGGGAAATCCTTTGTGCTTCTAAGGTCCAAACTCCGACCACTTTGGCCTCTTATTAAAAGGGTTAAGGAAATATATGCCAGAAATTTCTTCCAGATGTACCTTAAAATGAGAAACTGCTTGTGCACATGCACACATGTCCTGCAGGACAAAATAAAAGGCAAACATATTATGTACCCTTAATTTTTTTTCCAAAATGTTGGTTATTACTGTCAGAGCCTAAGAAAAATGAGGATCAACTAATTCGGTGATGGTTACTTCATTTAATAGATTTAACAATGCTCATTAAAGGGAGTTGCAGCCAAGTGGTTAGAGCTTGGAATCCTGAAGTTCTGAGTTCGAGCCCCACTCCCACAGACTGCCACTCTAGCAAGACCCTTTTCCCCCGACTGCACCCCACAATGGCAGCCCACTTCCATCGTGGTAAATTTCTCCAATATGAGCTCAGTAAAGTTCAATTATTTTTTATATTTAAATATTAGAAGTAATATGCAAAATCACTATCAAGTTATGGGTAGCTTTCAGTAAATTTAAGAAAAATGAAAGAACAATTTCATTCAGGTGTGCACTTAGGATCTAGTCTGGCCTGGTTTGACCTCGTTTCATTGTGTTTGCTTGTAAAATCTTCAAAATCTCTTGATAATAAAACAATTACCAGTTATTGGTTGATATTCAAATATAATATATTCAAATAGTAGAATTGTTTATCCCCATCAGTTGGTTTTTAAAAGCTGATGCTTAACCCTTTTAATATTACTTGGTTCCAGGCCAAAGCTGCACCATTTTAGTCTTCCTGGTTGTCAGCAGCTTTCCAATCAAGAAATTACAGGTTAGACTACGAAGAGAGCAATTGCCAAAGGTTTCATCAGTTTGATCTGATGTTCAATGACTGAGCTTACAAACTGTTTTCTATAGGTAACCTCGTAAAGTAAAGGGGGTCTCTGAGTGGACTCAGTGAAATATTGAGGGAGCACTCTGTAAAACATTTTTCTCTGAGGCTTTCTATCTTTACAGATGAAAAACATTGGAGTGGTGTCAAGAAGACATACTGACCATCCTTACCTGTTCTCTTAAGAGCTTTTTTTTTTTTTTTTTTCCTAGTCAAGCTTTTCCGACAGAGACAGAATCCAAAATCTAGGCTTGTTTCTCATATGACAGAAATGCAGAAGGACTTTACTGGGTTATTTGAAACATCATCTATGTTTCTTTAGCCTCCATCAGTGAGATTAAAAATGTATAACTATTGAGACTTTATAAGACTTAGGTCATCAGTAAATAATTTTGAAACTAATGACAAAATAAAGTGCTGAATAAAAGTTTTACAACCATGGATCAATATTTTTTCTTAAATTTGGTTACTGAGTGAAAGAACTGAAAGGAAAAGGACATTAAATGAACAATAAAACATGTCTGACTCCCACTTAGGGCTCAGTAATCACAGAGTTTGTGTATATTAAACATATGCAAAATTGTTAACATATGCAGAGCTAATCTTCAGGACAGGTCTAATTCTTATTACTTGTGTTAATCAAACAGAACTTTGTACAAACTTTTTTGTGTGTCACTTCATAAATTCCCGTTTCAGATTCTAATAATCAAACAAAAAAATAAAACCTGAAACGGTTTTTGAGCCCGATGGTGATGGAGAGTCTGTGTGCATGTTTGAGCCGTCACAAATTACAATAATATAATAGTAAATCTTCGCATGCTGGCACATTTTAATGTATCAGGAAGCAATTCTATTAACTACTAAACAACAAAGAAAAATCCCATGACAGAAGTTGAATATGGCACGTCTGCACGTCTTTTAACAGGTACAAGCAAATTTTATATTTCCTCTAATTGAGCCTCACTACATTGGCTGCAATTACATTTTAGGATTGATTTTAAAATGCTTTTATTTGCTTTTAAAGTTCTAATTGGTGTTTCCCCGCCCTAGCTGTCTGAGCTGCTTCATCCCTACACACCCTGTCGCTCCCTCGGATCAGCTGACCGGTTGTTACTGAGGGTGCCAAAAACAAAATGAAAGCTCAGAGGGGGCCGTGCTTTTTCTGTTGCAGCTGATTGTGTATGGCACCTTGGTCCTGTTGGGTGTTGAAAGTGTTTTATAAATAAATTTGGTATGCTATGGTATGGTATGGCATGTTTATTAAAAAAACAAAAAGAGAATATATTTATAGTCACCAGAAAAAAATATATTGAAGGGCTTGTACAGGGACATTAAGGCTTGTCTGACTTTTGACACTACAGATAGGGTTTTCCCCTCAACATTATTTTATTATGACTGTACTTTGGTTTAATACAGTCTATGCTCAAGCAGGTGTTGTAAGAAGCTGGGCAAGGTAAATACAACTGTGTAGAGGGTACTCCTATTGTAAATCTAACTGTGGCTACCATCAGACGGGTTTTGCAGGGATGAGCAGACAGTCAGCTTTTCTGATTGATATTTAAGCTTTAAAATTAACCTCTTTTTTTCTCTTACTATGTTTTGTGTCACTTTAAGAGACTTTGGTGAAGTGTCGGGAGGTGCTTTGGTGGCGCAGTGGTTAGCGCACATGACCCATGTATGGAGGCCTTAGTCCTCGATTCGGGTGACCCGGGTTTTAATCTGGCCTGTGATCCTTTCCTGCATGTCTCTCTCATACCCCATTTCCTGTCCTTAAAAACGAGCCACTAGTGCTATAAAAGAAAATTATGGTAAATAATAAATACCTAATACACATCATAATGAAAGTTATCATAGTTTTTACCTCCAACTCAATGGCTTAGAGCTCCATCTTTCTTCCCTGGCAACTCTCAAATTGCCAGTGGAACATGCAATATGACCATTAAAGGCAGACAGACCGAAATGGACTCTATTATGATTTGTGCATGTAATATTTGCAGTTGAACTGCAACATGGAAACTTAGAATTGTGTCTCCCCTTTCAAAGTAAAGAAAAGGAGTAGACCAAAAATGATTGATTGACTGATCGATTAATTGGAACTGTCATGCACCTTAGTGCCTAGCCAACGTGGGTTTATGAGGACCTCCACATATAAAACGAGATGGCTACTGCATACTAAAAAAAAAACAATGAAAAAAAAAGCATTTTTTTTATTTATACAGAATAATAATGCTCATCTATCAAGATCCTCTTTTTCAGCTTGGTGTGGCTTTACAGTAGGTAACACTTTGATATTTCTCAACTAGGCAAAAATAAAACTTTTTAAGGCTCTAGAGAGATGTGCATGAAAGACACACTGAGTCTAAAAAAATATATATATATATATATATATATATATATATATATATATATATATATATATATATATATATATATATATATATATATATATATATATATATATATATATATTTTTTTTTTTTTTTACAAAGAAAAATGATAGAACAGCATTTTTATGCAGATGATAAGTAATCTTTATATATCGACAAGTGCTATAAAAGTGATATTAAATAATAACTTGTGTTAATCAAGTGATTTTGCCAGTGGTGTTTACAACATTTACATGGCACTCAGTTTCACTATGAAGCAAACTGTCATAGTCTATTATAGATGCAACTAGGCAAAAGGGAGTGGTGGCTGCCAGAAAAGGCTCTTGAGTCAGCGCTAAGGAAACTCAGAGAAAGTTCAAAGTAGAGGTCTTCAGGGGAATGGAGCAGAAAGTAAAAAGATTACACTGAATATGATTATAACCCAGTCAAAGTGGGTCATAATCATATTCACTGTGGCTGGATCACAGAGCCTTTCTGTAATGTAACAAATCTTGGACTTGCATGTCAGTATGTTTGATACTGGCTCTGTCAAAATCATTTCCAACCTCTTCAGCGAGCAACGAGAGAACAATAGTAGCCCATAAACCAGGGAGGAATATGAAATTAATAATAGACGACTTTTATTTTTTAATCAAACAGCAAACAAGAAACTCTATGTCCTCTCTTTGTCTGACCTTTCAAAACTGAGCATTTTGGATCATATTTTGTTTGCTGTGTGCTTTGAACTGCACAGCTATTTTGTTTTATTTTTCATTTGCTGTTTTACTCCGTTTAGTAAAGAAATCTTGTTTTGATTTTAGCAGAAGAAAAAGCTAGAAGATGCAAGAATAAGTGCATTTATAACCTATTTTATCTTCCTTTAAAGCAGTGGTCTCCAAAACTAGTCCTAGTAGAGCTGAAACATTTAGGCCTACACACCTATTGTATATAAAATGACTAAACAGTGGCGTTGGATGTAGGAGTTTGCCCTGAAATCGAAGGGTTGACGGTTCAAGCCCCGACTCCGACTTTCATTGTCGTTGTGTCCTTGGGCAAGACACTTCACCTGCATTGTCTACTGATGGTGGTCAGAGGGCCCGGTGGCGCCAGTGTACGGCAGCCTCGCTTCTGTCAGTGAGCCCCAGGGCAGCTGTGGCTACAATGTAGCTTGCCACCATCAGTGTGTGAGTGTGTGTGTGAATGGGTGAATGAATGTAGTGTAAAGCGCTTTGGTCAAGTCTCCTAACTTGAATAAAGGCGCTATATAAGTACATGCCATTTACCATTTACCATAAACTATGTCAGTATCACACACATATACACATATATATATATATATATATATATATATATAAATAAAAGCTAATTAGTTTGAGACTACTGCTTTAGGGTGGCTCCAACCTATTTCATCGGTCAACATGTAATGGCTGAGGGAACACTTAAAAGTATTTTTTATTTATTTAGTTTTTTTTATCAAGGATAAATACTTTCTTTCGTCTTAGATAAAGTGCAGCATATTAAACTTGATTACCTGAGCACTTATAACAACATACCACATATTTGTCAAAGACAACGTGGATTTGTTTCTTTTTTCTACTTATAACCAGAAATGGGTGTCTTTAAGGTGGATTTTTTACTCAATGAATGGCAGATTCCGGTAACAGTTATCTAAATAAAGTTTCTTACTTCTCAGAAAGCAAAATGCCACCTCTACCCATTATATATTATTTAAATGTAGAATACTTATAAAATGCATTTCTGATCCTGTCAGTGACCTTACGGAATAAATTTGCAATTGTTACCAGGCAACCTGAGACCTCTGCAAGAAGTGTTGGCATTTATCAGAACAATTTTAAATAGATGGCATATCCCTCATGCTAATTTGAGGTAAAGAATAAGAATCTCTTATTTGGCCAGTTATGTCTTTAGATTATCACTCAACCAACTGAACCCAGTGCATTTGAATGTATATAATAATTCAATAATTCAATACTTCAAAATAAAAAGTTTAAAAAACAGCATATTTCTTATGCTAGATAATAAATATTAACTGTTTACATTAAACTAATTGGTATAGTGTGATCTTTAAAATGACCCAGTGTGTCTCTAAATATAATGTTTTGGAAAAAATCATTGTTTTGCACTAATAATGAAAACTTTGACGTCAAATGAAAAAAGGGGATTTTTGGCAGAAGCTCTGTTGTTTGTACAAGATTTAGACATTAAATATTTACATCAAGATGCTCTAAAACCATGTAAATACTGCACACTATCTGAATAGTATGCATCTTAACCACCAAACTGTCAAAGGTGGAGTGGTATTCTCTCTACTGCTTCAGTTTTTCAGTTAGTGGTTTGACATTTTGCAGAAGTCCTTCTTGCTACTTCATGTCATTGTCTTTAAAAGGCTTTACTGGAGATGATCAAAAATTAGCACTTTGCCTTTTAAACATACATTTTCTTCTGTTGTGGGATCTGTGTTTGAATAATTTATTCTACTCAAGGACTTGTATTTAGAAAATACATTTTTGCATAAAGAAAGAATAGGAAATCCTAATATAACTAAAATGGTACTTGCCTAGTTTCATCAGTTTTTTTTTATTACAATGAGGCAGCAAAGCACCTCTGTGACATGGAACACTATCCATGCTTTACTGAAGTTAAAATCTTTGTGACATAATACAGATGTATGTCCTGCAATCATATAGAGTTCTACTGTACGTAGTTTACTGGTAAAACAAAGTCTGCTGCTAAACAAAAAACGAGGGTGAACCTCTATTCTGCTTTCTTCCCGCTTCCTTCAAATGTTCCTTTTTATTTAGTTTTATTTTTGGCACCATATCCTAAAAGCATTCATTTTATTAATGTAGGAAGACTTAAAGCAATACATGATGTAAACAGAAAAAAAAAAGTTGCGTATTGATTAAATAATGAAAATGCAATAAAGGAATGTTTAATATGTTTACTAAATCTTTAGAAAGCGTATTTTGTTGTTGCTGTTAGAAAAAATGTCCAGCTTGGCTCATCTTTTCCACAGATAATCTTCTTCATCTTAACTATTTCTAAGTAACACTTCCACAACAATTTCCTAGAATAGAGTGTGCCTGAGACTGTGAGACATTTTCTGAGAAAATATTTTAGGATAAAAAAAGCAGACCCTTCTAAACCTAAAAACAAGCTTTAGAAGCTCCTCGTCAATAGGATGCCCTGAGATTATCTAAGTTTTGACTTTTCACATTTATACTAAAAATCACTTATTGATGATAATGGTTAAAAAAAAAAAAAAAGTATCTTTAAACATTATAGATGCTTTATATTTTTTTTCAGTTCACCATTCCTAGTATTATATGAACTCAGTCCTCAAACTGAAATTTCATGTTTTCGTTTGAGGATCTATTGCCTTCTGTGCCCACAGGTAACCCCTAATATTTAACAACCCATTTGAATGTTAACTAGTAAGAGATGTTTTTAACTATAATTCATATTTCAACATCTGCAAAGTCTATTACATTGAATTAATGTTTTTTTGTTGGTCCTCTTTTTCATTTCTAAAGCAATAAAATCGAGCTGATATTGGTTTATAATATAATCATTTCTTAACACAGGCAGGAATAATGTTATACAAGGAAATATAATATCTGTACAGAATATCCAGTGAATCCAAATGCTAGAGCTTTTTAGATTTATGAAATTATACTTGTGACTCCAAATATAGCATATCATCATTATTGCGATTCATTACATCAGAAAATCCTTTAACAAAGTTTGGTTGTTGAGTTATAAAAAAAAAAACAAAAAAATAAATAAACACCAACAGTAAAAAGAAAAATCATAGATTTAAAGCCAATATATTCATGTTTAACATTCTCATTACCTCTGTCACCTTCTGTTGAAATAGTTTATTTAAAATCTTCACAACACCAAATCAAAAACCAACTATTGAATATTAGCCTTCTATAATTTAAAATGGGAACCATTCGGAAGCAACACTGAACAGACAGGAACTCCACATTAAATCCCAGCAGTTGTGAATATGTAGTGTTTATTTTCTGTAGGGCTTATATTCAATCTTAATATCTTAAAATAAATAAAACTTCAAGACCTTTTGAGTATCCTTATTAGTTTTATGCAAGATCCTTGTAGGTTACAACTTTTTTATACTGTATTTATACAAAATCAGCTAATTATAGAATGGTTAAGTTCTTAAATGCAAGACATTTAACTTTGCTAGCAACTTCAAGGATGTTAAACATAGTTTTTTAATTTAAGGTTTGGTTTATTAAGTCTAGCATGTGATTGGTTTTCTTTTAACCAATAATGAAACCCTGACACTCTTTGACATAACTATGAATAGACCAACATGAGGGAGATTATCCAGATTATGTATTTCCTTACTCTAAATCTGTAAAATGTATCTTGAGTGTTGTAGAAGCTCTTTAAAATTTTAAACCTTTTAAGAATTCTTAAGGTCAAAGGCTTAAAACAAAAAAGCAAGGACCTAAAAATATAAAATGGGTACTTTAATTATAGGAAAGCAGTGTTGAAATGCAATATATCTCAACAAGAATTATATTTACCTTTAGAAATTCCAAGAATGCCGGTTTGGACATGCATGCCTTTTTAATGAGAGCCATTGCATTGGTGAAGTTGTTCACGTATTCACTGTACACATCCAGGACCATGGACTTAGAAAACTGAAAAAAAAAAAAAAAGAAGTTTTAACAGCAAAATATATATTTATTGAATGTCACACACCACCAGAATAGCATTGTCTTTTATCACCTTATGGATTGTTTTCTAATAACATGCACAGATATTTTCCTCTGACTGAATATTTTTGCAAAGAAGAGGCTAAAAACTGAAGATCTACTGTTTGTTTTTCATTCTAGTTGTTGGAATGGTAAACAAATCACCCTCCCAATCCATGTAGGATGGTTTACAGAGAAGAATGAGGTGGGGGTCTGTGTGGGAGTGCAGCTGCGTGTGACTGTTCTGTGGTAAATATCTATTCTCCTTCCACAATTACACCTACGCCAGGCGGCTGATAGCGACAATATGAGGAGTAATGGGAAATTGGCAAATCAGATGAAGGAATTAACCCTCTTTTCTCTAAGTTTCCCTTAGGACCCTGCTGGCTCTGTTATTACTGCAGACTCTGCAGGTAGAGGTAAGGCAGGAGCAGGCCGATGTGGGCTGTATACTGTCCCAGCTATTTCACTGTCAAATGTGGCTTCATTTGATGCACAGTAGGTCTTAGAATATCAATTGAACAGCACAATAATAAGCAACACAGAAAAGGATCAAACAAGTCCCTCTAATAGGCAAATAATGAGCAGACCATATGGATGAGCACACACTCTGCAGAAGCTTGAAAAAGAAACCTAAAATGCACACTGCTACTGCTAAAGATTATATTCCTGAGAGCATTTGATGCAGTGGAGATATTTGCAATGCTGGTAACTGATTATGTTTGGGGTAAACTATGCCTGTTTGCCCATCATAATAGAGCTAACAATGACTAAGAAATTAGGTCCAATAGAAAACAGCTGGGTAAAGGGAATGGTTCTACCCAAACTAATGACTAATGTTTTTCCATAACTTTTTTTAAACAACCAATTACGTTTAATTTGTCCTTTTTTGGGGGTAGTTAGGATTTTTTTCTCCAAAGTCTGATCTAACACGCGCTTACCTAGTATTTAGAGTTATTATTTGGTCTTCAAACTGTATGACTTGGGTGAAATGGTTTTAGTGTCGTTTAAGGATTCTTCTGTTATCTCACTGTAATTAATCAGGTATTTTAGCTCATTCCTTCTGAGGCAGTAAACAAGTCATCTTTATAGGTCACTTTTCTTCCCAATATTTCTTCTGTGAACAGAACAAAACATCGACTTCTGTCCTTGATCCTCTTTGAAACTAACCTGGCTTCATACTTTGGGTCATTGTCAGTTTCCAAGACCAATTTGTCTTTAGCTTTAACCTCCTGGATGATTTCCTCAGATGTTATGTTCGTATTTACATTTTCGTCATGATCCCAACCTGATGCATCAGCAGAGCCCCCAACATACTTTCATAATTCCATACTTCTCAGTTGGGATGGTGTTTCAGGTTTGTAAGCTCAACATATTTTCCTTTATATGAGACAATACTCCTTATGGCTAAACGCTTATATTATGTTTTATCAGAACACAAGACATGTCTCAAAAAGAATTGGTGTTGGTGCACATTGTGGAACAGTAATCTTGCTGTTTTATGTTGCTTGTAGAGCAATGGCTGTTTTCTTTGCTGTTTGGCCTTCCAGCTGATCTCTGTTTTTGCTGTGGATATTGACATTCTCTCACTGCTTTTAGCCAGAATCTTTAAAAGATTTTGTTTGTTTTTGTTCAGGGTCTGATACTCAGATTTCTTTACTGATAAAAAAAAAAAAAAGAAACAAACAAACACATTCACCTCTGGGGTATCAAACCCATCTTCTTTTTTAACAGTGCATTTGGTAAACCCTCCAAGCTTGTATGTATGTGCATATAATAATCTATTTTCACTTTTTGAACTTTATTCTTTTTCATATTTTTTCAGTCTTGCGTACCTACAAGCTTTTATTTTCCCTGTTTTTGCCAGTGATAGGTGACTATCCACACTGTGGGGAAAAAATATCCATTCTATTTTTTTCTATTCTATTCTTTTCCAATCTGATTATTTGAACAGATAGACGTGAAAATTTAGGGCCATTGGAAATAAGATTCAAGGATGAACCAAATTGGCAAAATTCTGCAATTTTCCTCGGTCGGTGTGTTTTAAGTTCCATCAGACCAGTTCAAGCAGTCGCTATCGTTCAGTTATGTAGAAAAAAAATCCTTACTGTCCTAAAGTATTGAAAAAAAAATTTCTAATTCAATATTAGAGTGTCTTTTTTTATATCACACATGTATATATCTGGTGTCATCTGTAATAACACATTAGCCGAACTGTGAGTGGATAGTTTGATGTCTGTAATTTACACTAACCGAGGCAACAAACAAGTCCCCGATTTTCTCACTTCTGTCCCACTCTGCCACACGGGAAGCCAGAGCAATCTGGAACATGGAGTGGCACTGTGTGATCTCTCTGACTCGGTAGAAAATGGGCCGGATCTTTCTCGGGCTCAGTATGCGTGGCTCAGCCTCCATCAATGGTCTATGGTACTCCTGTTGAGAATGAGAAAAAAAATAAATTGTAATTGTAGATTGACAGACATGAGCAATTTCCTCCAACAACAACCTTCACAACTTAGACTCGGAACAATAATTGATGATGGACTTTCACAGAATGGCAAAATGTTTACCTCTTTTTCTGCTCTCTAACCCACTGCAGTAATTCACAAACAGATAAAAACAACATCAAAAAGCAGCAGCGGAAACCTGTGCAGCCTTATCGTGACGTTAAAACAGTATTGAACATTTTCTTTTGTGCCGAGTGCCTGTTTTATCTAATTACGTGATATGTCTGGACACACTGCATTTACTTCACCATTTGGCTATTTAAATCAACAAAGAGTTTTAAAGCACTGAACCTTACAATGAAACATGAACATAAATGACAATTCTTAATAATGGAAACGCATTCTGTATCTACTATAAAAGTTCTCACAGCATAATAGATTAAAACTGTATCTTAAATAATTATTTTAACTAGTTCTTATTACGTTTTGCATGATGACAAGATGAGAGGTCTCTTTTCTTTTCATCAATGAAAATGAAAGAGGAGTGACTGCACCCCATGGTTTAAGTCTGACAGCTTCTCTTTCTCAGCGTCAGCATGAAGTCCCCTCCCACAAAGCATAGGTGTTTTATCAAGATTATTTATGCACAGACACCTTGATAATTTGATGAATATCGCTGCTTCTCATCTCAGTGTAATTTACAATAGCTAAACTGTGATGATATTGCATGTGGCAGAAGAGGACAGGAGGACTAAACAGTTCACCTGCAGGATCCTCCTGAGAGACTCCAGGTAGCTCCGCTCGCTCTGAATGATGGAGCCAAGGATATGGCGCCTGACAACCTGCGTGGACAACAGATCAGTCAGAAGCTCGCACTCTAACGGGACATGATCGGGCTGCGGTGTGTGGCGTGCTTTCAGTTAAGTGTGGCACTGGTTGATGGATTACACCATAATCATGTGTTAGTCACGGGAGAAAAAGACTCCGAGAGGAGTCGGTCAGTTTGAACGAGCTGAATCACTGGAGGTGCTGCGACATGAGAGCAGCTGTTTAAGCAGTTTTAGAATGCACTGCTTTTACAAACAGAATTAGGCCTTTAAAGCAAACATATATTAGAAATGCTGAATAAAAAATTCCTACTTTATCAGCCAGAAGCATAATCCTAAAGCTACTTACCATTGAATCGGGTTTAGAAATGGATGCAACACTGGAAGCAATTGTCACAGAGCACAGTTTGATGTGTTTATGGCTCTAGTGTCTGTGTGGGTGTGTGTGTGGTGGTGTGTGTGTGTGTGTGTGTGCGTGGGTGTGTGTGTGTGTGTGTTAAAGGTTCCCAGGTGATTGGTGCTGATTGGAACTAGAGGCAGCTGTCCTATGTCTGTAGAAAGGACAATTTTATATTTTCCTCTGCCTGGGAGTCCCTGTTTATTCTATACCTTACCAGGCTTGTTTGTTTTATAGGAATTTTCTTCTTTTCTTCCGGTTCCCTTTTACGAAATTTTTACAAAATGTTATCTTGTTGAATAGAAATATAACAACTTATTGATTCTAAGGCTACAACACAAGGCACTGAGTTTGACGTATCTGGTGGTGACTTGGCAAACAACAAATTTTAAATGACAGGTAGATTAAAAAAAATCTGTTTTCAGTTCCTATGAAATCCATTAGCACATTGGGAAACAATAAAAATTTATATATATGGACAATGACGCTCTTGTTAAATGCAGACCTGACAATTTGTAGAAGCACCAATTCAATAAATGTTTGCTTCATCCATTTTTTTTCTTTTGTGCATTTGTATCATGTTGTCACCGGGTTATGTGATCTTTGCAGAAAACATATTAAATGCTACCCTGCAGCGCAGAACACAATAAAAAGAGGCTCGAGTCTTGCTTGATTTTTGCAGTCGGCTTTGTACCAAAACCACTTTTGTTTGAGTTCAAATAGACCCTTTTCTCTACTTTCACCACATGTTAGAAAGCTCTATTTTCAATTTACCAAAGTGACAAGCCTCTCCCCTATAATACACTCTACGAAACAGTGCACGTCGCACCATTCCACAGCTTTTCTAGTCAAACTACTAGTTTCTAAGCTGTGAACCAGTGTAGCTGTTACAGATTCTCATGTGTGACGGGGCTGCTGTCAGCTGCACCTGGTGGTTGGTCAGCCCTTCTGGCATGGGGCTCAGCTGCGGGGGAGGATGCTTCAGTTCTGACACAGCCACATCCAGGTAACCAGCATCATCCTCCTCTTCTGCAGATTTAAAAAAAAAAAAATGAAAAAGTAGAACGGGTTTGAAAGTGTGTGACAAAGAATGTGACAAGGACAGAGAATAACAGAAAGGCATTCCTCAGATCTCAGAGCAGCTGGAGACGCAGCGACACGCTAAGTTTATTACGTCTAAAATATGAAGAAACTTCTGAACTCTCTAAAGGAAAAAAAGAGCTGAGGAAATGTGAGATAGAGAAAGGGAGAGGTAAGGGAAAAGCGAAACCAAGAAAATTCAGGACAATACTCTATGTAGGAGTAAAATGGGTGCAAAAGTAATCCAGCACATTCTTGCAGTATCCCTGCAATGGCACCTACATGTAACAGTAAAAAAAAAAAATCCTCAGTTCCCCCATAAACATTTAATCTCAGCATAAGAAGGCCTTATGGGTTGAATGAAATTATTTGTTATGATGAAAAATTGTTGGAAGAAAAATACAATACAAATGCAATGATTCGTAGATTCCTAAAGATCAATACCCACTGTCTAACTTACCCTTTACTGTATGTAATGACTTAGAGATGTGTTTCAGGCATGAGTTCAATACTGTATTTATCTTAATAATTCTGCTTTTCATTTTATGGATGCTGATTTCTCTATAATGTGAGGCAAGGGTTCCTGAAAGACAGGCTCCTTGATACCACATGCAATGCTTTCTCTTTTTTAACATCTAGAAACTTTATTCACCCCCCCCACCACCATCCAACTCCCCAAACCTTATTTAAAACTGCAAATGCTTGTCTTTTTTCATTTATTTTGAATATAATCTGTAAGATCTTTTCTTTCAGTGTTCTTTCATGTTTGCCTTAAGGGATTTCTATAAAGAAAAAAAAGAAAGAAAAATAAGACTTTCTACCCAAACCATCGTAGTTGCTCCTATCTGACTTGGCTCGGCTAGATTTATAACCAAGCAAAAGGCCTTTTATAATATAAATGCTGCAATGTCTTTAAAACAGCTACTGATTTGTTTGAAAATTTCACATCTTTCTAAACTCATAACTCAAGAGCAGCAATTTTTTTTTAAGTTCTTCAGTTACCCAGTTGATCTTTTCTCTGCAGGAATGACACCTTTCTCATGACGGCAATTTTGGTCCTCTCGAGCCCATCCTTCGTTCCCGTCCTCGCTGCCCTCATGAGCTGCTGAACCTGGTTGCGTGGAGCACACAGAGACAACAAAGGAGCATCAGAGCAGGAGGGAAGTGCCATGCTGCGGTGGCTTGATACTCCACAGGGCTCCTCCGGAGAGAGACAGAGAGAAGTGTCGCTCCGCAGGCTCATCATGAGCCTCACCATCTGCGACTCCCCCGCGGGTCGCTGTACAGCTTTTTAATCAGGGAGCCTAGGAGCATATCATGGAAAGATTATTGTAAGTGAGGGAGATCCACATCAGCTTCCTTACTCAGCATGGGAAAAATTCAGCTGACCACAAGTGCTCCCTGAGCATTAAAAAGGCCATGCAACCAGACTCCACAGACCCAGAATACACTCAGGAGAGTAGTATTTTTAAATGATGCTAGTATGAGAAAGTAGGTCAGAAAGTGGAAGCAAGTTGTATCGATGTTTATGGAGGCAAACCCGCCGACTATTATTTAATAATTAATGGTTTTCATAATTTTCTCTGATATTAAACGAGGCAGGGAAAAATAAAATGGAGCTTAACAGACCAATCAATAGTCTCAAAGCAAGGCCACAGAGCATTGGAAGAGTTAAGAAGGATGGCATAGCGAGCCAATTAAGCCATTGTGTCAGCTGAGCATAATAGATTACATATATCAGCTCAGGGGGATCATCAATCTCATAGTTAAATATTTGGGCAGAGGGAGTTGGGTTCTGCTTTGAAATAATGTGAGACACAGTGGGTTAGAAAGGTGTACACATTCTTTAAAAAAAGGTTGGATTACAAAAAATCTTTATTCAACTTAATACAGCTTAATAATGATAAAAGATAAAACACCTGAATTATTGGTCACACTAAAACAAAGGGCTGCAGCACCGTGTTTGCATAAATGTTTAAACACTTAAAACTAAAACTTTGTTAAATTTAATTTCTACACTGAATCTTCTTCCATTGGGGTGTATATGCCAGCCCCATTGGAAAGTTCTCCAAAACCCTTTTTTTGGATTTCACAGATTTTCTTTCAGACTGTATTTAGAACTCTGTCTCAGGAACTGCAAACTTTAAATATTAGCTAAGTGATTTATTATTACTTTTTTTTTATTTGACTAAATGTTTGGATTCAAGCAGATGACAAAAAGATTTGGGTTAATAATTAACTACACAAATAAAAAAGAAATAAATAAAAAAAGAAATAAAAGACAACAACCAAAATTTATAAAAAAAAAAAAGAAAGAAAAAAAAAGAAAGTAAGGATGATGCAGCAGTATATGTTTTTTTTTTTTTTTTTTTTTTGCAATGGGTAGTGTTGTTTTATGAAAAAAACAACAACAAAACAATTGGGGTTCAAAACATTGTTAGGTTGTTTGAACTGACCACTTTTCCTACCCAGGATGAGGAGAGTTTAGCCAGATGAGGATGTTTCCTTTGGTAATTAAACTTCCTTTGGTTTACAATCTTACTCCTTGGTCCAGAACAATGAAGGGAAGTATGACACCGTCTTAGTACAATCTCACCTGAAAGTCTATGTGACCTTTTTTGCCATTTTAATAGTTATGAAGAAACATCCAGTTTTACTAATTTGAATATTTATTAAAATATTAAATGGCTCTCTTCTCTGCCTCATGTTTATTATCTTTTAAAATGTTGTGCAATTTTTATTTGAATTGTATAGGATATATAATTCATCATTTTAACCTGAAAAAGTTTTGAAAGTATTTAATTCTATGTTAATATTTTTAACTCTCAAAAATCGCAACATAAATTTTTTAAGACCCCTGTAACTGTGTAAACTTGTTAATTGGGATTATACCTTAATGTCATAGTTGTGCTTTCCAGGCAGCCTCATAGCAAGTTCGCGCCTGGTCCTGGCGCACCGCTCCCTCAACCGAAGCACTTCAGGTGAAAGCTACAGGGGAATGGGGTGGAGCACAGGTGCATTGAATGTAAGCCGCAAAAGCCAAAGGAGAGAGAAAAGCAAGAGAAAGGGAATACAAAGGGGAAATTGTATGCGAAGCCATTAAGCAGAAGGAAAGTCTGTGAAACACTGGGAATTAATCAGGAGCGCATAGATTGGAAACATGTTGCACTGCTTTAGTCGACAAGGTTGTGGCTAATGGCTAGTGATTTATATAGGGTTCAGAGTGGCTGCAATCAGTTTGAAGCAAATATTACCTAAGCAAACTTCAATGCAGCTCTCCCAGGTTCTTCAAACAAGAACACAGGCTTCGCTGGGTGAAAAATGAATTGGGTGAAACTAATTAAAAACAATGTGACTCTGACGAAGGCCGCTGGACTTTAATAGTTGAGGGTATTTTTGTTTTTGTTTTTCATTAATGATAGAATCCAGCACACCTGAATTCTTCCTTTTGTTCAGCAGCCTGAGACAAACCTGCCAACCGATTAGTTGGTGGATTTTCACACTGGACCTCCATGTAATTACCAAACAACTAATTCATATTTGTTACCTCTGGCTTCTTTGTTTTCCAATTTATTATTTCGAAACTGGATCCTCTGGTATATTATTATTTATGGGAAAAAACCTTCAACGTTCAAAATTTTATAAAAGCAGGTAAAAATCTATACATTAATAATGACTCAACTACAGATTTTCCATATGTCTGCAATGATGGAGTCACTTTAAAAGCCTCTGGAGCATAAAGAAAATGCAGCACAATGTGAATGTGCACACAGTGCCATCATGTGGAAGCGACACACTCTGGTGTATCATAGTGATTACCAGCACTGCTGGCAGAAAAGAGGCAAGGGAATCTGTGGCTCTTCAAACAGAAATGTCTCATGTTTACTTTCATCTCACAATGCTCGCATAAAACTTGACAGCCTTTTATGCATTTTTTATGTCCTTTACTGCTTCCTTCCACTTCTATACATTAATAAAGAGTTCTGCACAAGAGAGGCGGCAGATGAAATATTCTCCTTGATATTGTATTAGGAGCTGAAAACTATCCCAAACAACCTGACCTGTCTAGATACCATTAAAAATACACAGATAATGGGACTATTTGACATGTGATCTACCTTGCTTCTTGCCGGCAGCTTGGCATCATTATCAGATTGCTCATCATAGCTCTCAAACTCGCTGGAGCTCCACCCATTGTTTCTCTCCAGAGTACCGCCATCTCTCTGGACATCTTCATAGATCATGTCTGCTGAACACACAAATACAGTACACAGCAGGTCAGGAGCTGGAGGTCTGAGGTCATGAGAGAGCAAACATTTGTAGCAAACACGACTCTGCAGTGGCCGACCTTCATCGGGAGAAAGAGGTTCCTCGCTGGCAACGTCATCATAGATCACATCTGAAGAAGCCTCAGGTGCTCCTGATTCTGTGTCTGCAACACAGACAGAAAAAAATAGAAAGAACAAAGTGACATCAAGGTGTGCAAACACGTGCTGTTTGCTTTTTATCTTTAATCTTTTTTTCTTTGGAATTTTAGTACTTTCTGTAGATAGATCAAATGTTATTTTTCTCAAGAGAAAAAAAACAACAAAAATGTTCTAATCCAGTTGCTTTCTTGTCTTTATCTCTTGAGGCTAACCGAAGAAAAAAAATACTTGCTTTTGTTATAATGACATTTAGACCTAAAAACACACTCCAGTCACTCCATTTGGAACACTTTGCTGGCATCTTGCCCCCCGTTTGCCTTTAGAATGGGTTTAATTCTTGTGTGCATAGATGTAACAAGGTGTCAGGGACATTCAGTGATTCATCACATACTTGATTCAGATTTTTTTATCGACACAAAGCTTCTATGCAACCAAATCCCAAAGATACTCAATGACCATGTAGCCAGATATAGTTAAACATTAAAAATAAACTATTCTGAAATAAAAAGCACAAGTTTGAGATCACATGAGCCTCAGAATATGGCTAGACTATGGTAAAAAAGGAAGGAAATGGTCTGGAAAAATATTAAAGGTATAGTGGAGGATTTTCACCAATTTTTCCTCTTTAAAAAAAATAAAAAATTTAAAAAGCACAACACTTTACACGCTCCCGAGAGGGGAAGGTCTATAAAATGTGTGCAAGAGCATGTGCAAGCCCATTTCTCCTCGTGCACGCTCTGTTTAAAAGTTGCTGTTTGTATCGCTCATACAAGCTTACTTTCCAAAGGAAGATTTGCAATTTTTCCACTATGGCAGACTCACCAAAGGTAAGTGGAAATGGGGACGAGCACATAGGACAGCCTTACGTAAACATATCACCAGAATGATTGACATTAGAAGGAACAATTATTTTTGATAAACCACCCAGAAGAAGAACATCCTCCACTATGCCTTTAAGGTAGACTGGAGTGTAAACAATTCTTAATAATACTTTAGCAGAAAAAAATCAACACCATTATATCAGAAGCAGCAATTTAAAACAATAAATTTGATGCAGGAGGGGTCCATTTATTTGTGTTATTTATACTTAAACCTAAATCTGTATGATGAAGCTAATAGGATTTCAAACCTCAGTTTCCCAAACTGTCCAAACTGTAGCCTCAGTTTCATGATCTGTACTATAAAAAGAGTGGCATCTACTGTACCCTGTTGCCTTCCTCTTCTAGACTTTCAGTTACTTAATTTGGATTTGGTTTATTTATGTAGTGCATCTACATCTAGAAAGTGCCTTATCATTACATCATTTTTGTGAAAGAATTGAATCTATAATACAAAAATATATCATGAAATAATCATAAACAGATTCTAATTCAGTTATATTCTTTCAACTTTAACCCAAGGTATAATAGAGTGAGATCAAACTTCAATGTAATGTCAATCTGTTCAAGGTTAAATAAAACCAATTGCACTGACTTATACTTTTTTGGAGCAGGAATATTAAAATCTTAGAAGATACAAAAATCCTGTAATTACTTATTGTGCATTTAACAAAGATATGGAGGTACACTTAATCTCAGCCCACCAGTCCTCCTCTAAACCTCACATGAACGGAGCATTTTTTAATTCAAATAATGGCTGCACAATTGATATTTTCTGTCCTGGGCCTATTTCTGTAAGCTAAAGATATAAATATGGCTGGAAATCCCAGTGGATAAATTCTTCTTTAAAGATATTTAAGTCCAAACTATAATCCAGGACCAAAAGCCTTACTGAATTTAAAGTCATTCAAATCATCTTTCATCCCCATTTACATTTTTGTGCTGTTCCTCAGCAAGTTCTCATTGAGAGAGAGAGTTCTCACTCTCAAGTCCGTAGGCTTAATTGTGTTATGCTGTTGCTGTGCATTTGTCTGATTTGTCATTTGCATTTACAAGCAGTTGAACAGCTGTACCTAATAAAGTGTCTAGTTACTTTATTTAAAAGCTCATGTCCTTAGGGAGATCTGGCACATCTTTTCTAGATGTTGCCCTAACGGCTTTGTTCACGTGACGTGACACGATTGTATCCAGCTTGTTTGAGCTATTGACCCATTCCGTCTCCACGCCTGGCAGGATTTGTCATTAACTGCTTTGAGAGTGTTTCAGCCTAATTTACCTCAGTGAGCTTTATTGATTTGGCTTTAAACCCTGATTTGTCTGCACACTCTTCTAAGCTCTAAACAGCATAAAATCACGTTTTTTTAATTAATCTTACTGAAGATGTGCTGCTTTCCTGTTGTGGATTACTTGCACATAATCCACAACAGGACCTTGAAGAAACCTTCCAGAAACACACCCATACATTTGTGTGTGTATATATATATATATATATATATATATATATATATATATATATATATATATATATATATATATATCAGTAAATATATTTCTAGAGATGCTATTGACATGACATTTTCACCATGCAATCCATACACACAAAGAAATCAAATCATAGATATCCAGAAATCAAGTTATGTGTAATAATCCAGAATGGCACAGGTAAAAAGTAATGAACATGTTAAGAAAGGAAATTGCAAAAAGGCATGGAAAGTGAGGAAACCAGCTGAAATCTCTCAGTAATTAGACACCAATCCCGCCCCTTGGCCCATGTAAAAGTAAAGAGCTTTCTCAAGACCTTGGCAACCTTATTATTGCAAATAATGATGGCACTGGTTACAGGGATTACAAGGATTTCTTAACTTCTGAATGTTCCAATGAGCACTGATGGGGCCATAATCTGGAAGTTGAAAGAACATCATTTCATCATAACTGACCATGACCAGGTGCTCGTCAAAAGATTTCTAAAAGAGTGGTAAAAAGAATTAAAAAATAATAACTCTTAAATTATTAAGAGTTGTCCAAGAGCCAAAAATAGTTGTTGAGAGCTTCAGAAAGACCTGGAATTAGTATGTACAATTGTTTCATTAATGCACTCAACTGCCATGACCTGTATCTACGTTCACCAAGCAAGACTCCATTGCTGAAGATAAAGCTTGTTGAATCTTGTTTAAATTTTGCTGCACAGCATTCAGAAAAGCCTGTGAAATACTGGGAGATTATAGCCTGGCCAGATGAGACAAAAATTTTACTGTTTGGATGCCATAATAAACATCATGTTTGGAGGTCATATGGCACTGCACATCACCCAAAAAACACCATACCAACAGGGAAGTTTGGAAATGGGAACATCAGCATATACTATTGTCAGATAAAAAAAAATAAAAATAAAGAGATAATCTTGATAAAAATCTGCTGCCATCTACCAGGATGATGAAGATGACACATGGGCGGACATTTAAGCAAGAGAATGACCCTGAAAACACAGCCAAGCAAACTCAATTGATGTCAGAGAAAAAATATAAAGCTGTTAGAATAACCCAGCCAATCACCTGACTTGAATCCAATAAAAAAAGAGAAAATCTATGGAAAGAACTTGAAATCAGATTCCATAGAAGAGGCCCACAAAACCTTCAAGACTTGAAGACTGTTTGTGTGGAAGAATGGGCCAAAATCACACCTGAGCAATGCATGCAACCAATTTCTCCATACAGGAAGTGTCTTGAAGCAGTTATTGCCAACAAAGGCTTTTGCACATGATTAAATACATTTCTATAAGTGTCTTAATACTTTTTCCCTGTGCCATTTCACTTTATTAAACACAACTTACTTTTTTCTGGACATCTATGGTTTGATTTCTTGGTTTGTTATATATATATATATATATATATATATATATATATATATATACATACACACACATATATAGATATATACATACACATATATAGATATATACATACATACATATATATAGATATATACATACATACATATATATAGATACATACATACATACATATATATAGATACATACATATATATAGATACATACATACATACATACATACATATATACATATAGATACATACATACATACATACATATATACATATAGATACATACATACATACATACATATATACATATAGATACATACATACATACATACATATATACATATAGATACATACATACATACATACATACATATATACATATAGATACATACATACATACATACATACATATAGATACATATATACATACATACATACATATAGATACATATAGATACATACATACATACATATAGATACATACATACATACATATAGATACATACATACATACATATAGATACATACATACATACATACATATAGATACATACATACATACATATAGATACATACATACATACATATAGATACATACATACATACATACATACACATACATACATACATACACATATACACTATATTGCCAAAAGTATTTGCTCACCCATCCAAATTATTGGAATCAGGTGTTCCAATCACTTCCATGGCCACAGGTGTATAAATTCAAGCACCTAGGCATGCAGACTGTTTTTACAAACATTTGTGAAAGAATGGGTCGCTCTCAGGAGCTCAGTGAATTCCAGCGTGGAACTGTGATAGGATGCCACCTGTGCAACAAATCCAGTCGTGAAATTTCCTCGCTCCTAAATATTCCACAGTCAACTGTCAGCTGTATTATAAGAAAATGGAAGTGTTTGGGAACGACAGCAACTCAGCCACGAAGTGGTAGGCCACGTAAACTGACGGAGCGGGGTCAGCGGATGCTGACGCGCATAGTGCGAAGAGGTCGCCAACTTTCTGCAGAGTCAATCACTACAGACCTCCAAACTTCATGTAGCTCAAGAACAGTGCGCAGAGAGCTTCATGGAATGGGTTTCCATGGGCGAGCAGCTGCATCCAAGCCATACATCACCAAGTGCAATGCAAAGCGTCGGATGCGGTGGTGTAAAGCACGCCGCCACTGGACTCTAGAGCAGTGGAGACGCGTTCTCTGGAGTGACGAATCGCGCTTCTCCATCTGGCAATCTGATGGACGGGTCTGGGTTTGGCGGTTGCCAGGAGAACGGTACTTGTCTGACTGCATTGTGCCAAGTGTAAAGTTTGGTGGAGGGGGGATTATGGTGTGGGGTTGTTTTTCAGGAGCTGGGCTTGGCCCCTTAGTTCCAGTGAAAGGAACTCTGAATGCTTCAGCATACCAAGACATTTTGGACAATTCCATGCTCCCAACTTTGTGGGAACAGTTTGGAGCTGGCCCCTTCCTCTTCCAACATGACTGTGCACCAGTGCACAAAGCAAGGTCCATAAAGACATGGATGACAGAGTCTGGTGTGGATGAACTTGACTGGCCTGCACAGAGTCCTGACCTCAACCCGATAGAACACCTTTGGGATGAATTAGAGCGGAGACTGAGAGCCAGGCCTTCTCGTCCAACATCAGTGTGCGACCTCACAAATGCGCTTCTGGAAGAATGGTCAAAAATTCCCATAAACACACTCCTAAACCTTGTGGACAGCCTTCCCAGAAGAGTTGAAGCTGTTCTAGCTGCAAAGGGTGGACCGACGTCATATTGAACCCTATGGATTAGGAACGGGATGTCACTTAAGCTCATATGTGAGTCAAGGCAGGTGAGCAAATACTTTTGGCAATATAGTGTACATACACATACATACATACATATAGATACATACATATAGATACATACATATAGATATATATATATATATATATATATATATATATTCTTTTTTTTAATCATTTACAGACATTCACACACACTACCTGCTGCTTCCAATGTTTTTGATTATTCTGCTTTATATAAAACTGCAGTATTTCATTGGGTCAAGCCTGATGCAGGCAACCTAAGTAATTGTCTATTATAATGAATATAACTAATTATTATTAATAGAAAAGGGATAAGCATTTTCAAATCAAAGTCAGAACAATTGCATAACAACATTCAAGGACTGAAGGCAAATGATTGCTTCTTCAAACAGGAATTAATTCATTATTCATAATGAACCACATAAAGTAAATTTGATCAATGTGAAAAAACTCTGACAGCACCTTGAACCAATTTTCACGTGCTGGCAGGTTATTATTATGCAAATATATATACTCTAGTCTCTGATGTTTAAAGACTAAAATTATAAAGCAGCAAGTATAAAAACATGAATGCAAGACTAAGATTTCTCATTTGATTTTACCCTATACTGAGCTAGTTTGGTTTTGATTTTACGTTTTGCTTTGTAAATGTAGACATTAGGCAGAATATGTTTACATAATTAAGATTTCTTCTTAACTTCTTTTTATGTGGACCTATGTATGTTTTACCAAATATTGTCCCAAGTCCGTAACATCATCAATGACCCCTCACTCCCCAACCATGGACTGTTCTCCCTGCTGCCCTCTGGGAAGAGTATTCCAGCATAGGTGGAGCTGATTCCACAACATCTTCTTCCCCACTGCCATCAGAAGAATGAACTGCTGAAAAACTCCAAATCATGTCACAGAATCTGCATCACACTGATAACACCAAACCAAAAACACTGCATATATGAACCATATAAATATTAATACTCTGAACTTCCATATCGATGCATTTTTTGCACCACAATTTTTTTCTTCTACACTGTTAACATTTGATCACAATAAAAGTTGTCGAAGTCTAAGTTATGTTAAATTGTCCATCTCCCAACGTCTGGCCCATGGACATTTTGACGTCACATTTTGTTCTGCACTTAAAGCTTATTTGTGAACCACAGCCAACATGTCATACCTTTTTAGAATCAGGTGATCCTAAAGAAAACAACTATCAACTCAATTGTAGGCCAACTATACTTTTTAAACACTAACAACTAATAATCTCTCACGGAATTAGAATTCATTAAGATGCTATATCCTGGCATAAGTGGGCCCATTTTGTCCATAACATCCAATAGAAAAGTAATATTGAGTTGTATTTCCCATAAAATAGAATCAGGTTGAAATAATGGACCAAAGCTACTTTTTTTCATGAGGAAGTAAAAACAAAGTTGATAAAAGCTTTTTTCTGTGTCTAAAGACCTACTGTAGGACAGCCATTTTATTATTTATATATGTAGGATTATTCAACATCAAGCATGTCTTTTTGTCTCGGTATCCAGAATACCTCAGAAATGTCCAGCATGTGAGAAACGCCATCCACAGGTGCATGCGTCACTGTATTATTTGTGCAGCTAGAACTCCCCCAATAAATAACCAATCAAACTTTGATTGAAATAATTTGTTAGCCAATGAGATAAGCTTTTCAATGAAGTATTGGAAGTGAAGGGGTGGGCTGAAAAATGGTGCTTAATGATGTGCATAATGCGTGAGAGGAGAGGGAAAATAACTGGATGCGGACATAAAATGCATATCTAAAATTTGTCAATGCAGAACATTTGAAATATTAAAGGGACACTATGCAACATTTTTCAGTTAATTAATGTGTTCCATAACGTTTTGGATGACTAAATGAGTCATTTCAGGTTGAACAAAGGTATTCTCGGCCGCCCTGGTGGTCTGTGGGGGAAATACTGCACTTGCAACTGCAGGAGCACCGACCCGCACCCACAGGCTCAGAAGTCTCGTGAGAGTCAGTCTTGCTTTACGGCGAGAACTGCTACACCCCCCAGTTAAAAGCATGCTCGTTGCTAGCACAGTGGCGATCTTTGTGCAGTTATGCTACGTTCACGCAGCAAAATCAGCAAAATCGCATCTGCTGCTTCATTTTTGCTGCTTGTACCAGTTAGTACTGACGCGCGGCTGAAGCAGCTTTGCTGCTCTGGCTGCAAAAGTGTGTCTGAGGCGCGTTGGGCGGAGCTTCACTATCCTTTCTCTGCCTTGCAGCTATATTTGCTGTGATCAGTGGGAATAAAGTAGTTTTAATATGTTTTTAAGTGAGAAAATACACCTGAAAACGTAATCAGTGCAGTCAGTTCATTCAGATTATTATCCTGCCTTCAATATTTTTTCTGTCGGAGCCGCTCAGACCCCCACATACCAGCGGGGCGCCGACAGTATGGATCCCTTCATCAGCAGCGGTTCACCGCGGCAGCTGGTAGGTGTTTTTCATCTAAATAATCCAAAGTGCATATTCTGCCGGCATATTTCTGCATTTTAAGTTAATTTAGGCGTCAATAAACTGTTTAAGAGCAGTGATCATCAGCGCTGTGTCTCTCTCCCTGCGTTAAACGCACCCGACGCGCTGCTGCAGCCGCTCAGACGTGCTGCGCCTGCAGCTCAAAACGCGCCGCGGGACCTTTGCATGTAAACTCGCTGCTTCTGTCGCGCCAGCTACATCCAGTGTGAACGCAGCGTTAGTCATTCGCTGCTAAGCTCAAAACAACCACGCCTGGCTTGACGGAGAAACCAGGAGAACAGCTGAGCATATTTACGACAGTGCACTTTTACTTTCGCCCTCTGGAGGGAGCCTCCCTGGAAAATCAACACCGGTTGCATAGTGTACCTTTAAAAAGGAAAATGCAAAGCTACATATAGAAATTATATTTTTTATTTTATTTTTTTGCGGTTGAATTAGTCATAAAATTAAAATTATCCAGTCTGCCACATTTGGTCCAGATTTGGTCAAGTGTGCCGAATGGACTTTTTGCGCAAAAAAAAAAAAAGGATCACAGTTTTTATTACTAGAGATCTGAAATTTTACACAGTCTTTGTCCACAACCTGAACAACAAGTGTAATGACTCGGAGAGGTCAACTGTGAATTATACCCAATAATTAGATTATGAAAAATAGCATTTTGTATGCCATAAATGATTTCTTGGGACATGTTTGAAGTTACATATCTCAAGTTGTGTAAAACTTACATTTGTACACATATCTCCAGAAAATAGATCTTAGCTTTCAAATGGGACACATCACAAGCATGTGGGATTTAAAATGTTATTTTACTGGCCAATGGCATTTGGGTATTCAATTCGTTTGTACTTAAGCTATAAAAAGGTGGGAGCCAAGGGTTTAAAATCATCAAAAGAGAAAGACATTAAAATGTTGTGCAGTATTGCTCCTTTGCATCTCTCATTGCCAAGCTGCTTTCAAATAACAGGAGCCCTGCTGACTGAGTCAAAATCCAAATGCAATTTTCCCCATGGAAATGGATCTCTATTGATCCTCATCCAGAATTAATTGGATTCATGTCATGTCTGCCCAGAAATCAAATCCCAGGAGAACACAGGTGTATTTGGGTCATTGCTTGTTGTGTTTGTGTATTTCAGTGTAGGTGTGTATATGATGTTTGTGTCTTTTTTATTGTAGAAATCAATAAGTCATACAATAACCATAGATGTATAAAATGGTCTTGTTGCAACCTTTGATCATAGCTGGGCAATGTGTATGACTAACAAATACTGGTGTGCAATTTTCACTGCCTGTGTCGACATGGTGTGGCCATGGTATTGTTTACGCATCTCTGGAGGTCCAATTGGTTTTCTATCAGCTCTGTCCACATTGCAAACACCATCACACATGCGTGGAATGAGTCAGAATACCATGGCCAGCTTACAGTACCTTTAATCTTTCTGGCCTGATATTGAACCTTATAAATGCAATATAAGGTACATCAGTTCACTCTCAGTATAATTTTGTTTTGTACCTTCAGTGACGTCCCTCGAGTCAGAGCTTTCCTGAATGGTTTCTTTGCTGCACTCTCCTGAATTAGACAGCAGCACCACAGGATTCACCTCTCCCACACAAGGAGCTGACGCACCAGGCTGGAATGCTGTTGCTGAGGCCCTGAAAGATACCCAAACATTAGCATAGTTAAACCAACACCGAGTGCTGCGTGCCTCATTACCAGTTAATTTCACATGGAGGAAGGAGAGGCTAAGTACTTGTTGATGGGGGTCGAATAGTTGTTTGGCAATCCAAGCATGTAAAAGCATCCTCCCTAATGTCTAACAGAATATGTATTGCTTCCTACAAATCACATAAATGTCTTTGAGAGGATCTATGCATGCTTTTTATAAATAAGACCACATTTTTAACCTTTTAGGAAACTAATCATTTCACAGCAGTCTGTTCTTTTTAACCTTAAGCATCAAACCAAGCAAATTTTTTTTCACCTCAAAATATCCTTTTATTAGTCCATGCAACAGTAAATTTAGTTTTTCTGAGATCATTGAGAGTTCTGTCATCTCCATCTAATGGCTCTGGTTGGAAAACCTTGATTATAAGTTTCTTTGCCACCGAGCCAGCGGCAGACTCGCAGCTCTGTTTGAATTCTCACTGTAAGACTAATGGCTTTACCAAAGCCCAATATAAAGCCATTGGCTTCAGTAGCCACATATCTAGCATGACCCTAACCAAAGGTTTTTTTTTTTTTTTTTATGTTGATGGTTTATGATTTAGAGGAGGCAGCTAATAAAAACAAAGGCAAAGAAAACCTTTGTCAGAAGAGCAAAGAAGATGGAACAAGAATCGGATTGGGACAGGGCAAAACGTTTGCTCAGACCTCAAACAAAAGCAAGGATGCAAATCTGATGCAACTTTATTATTAGATTTGCAAGCACCATATCTGCTGACATCTTTTATGCCTACTGTTGTGACTTTAGAGTGATACATTTTTAACATGCCATTATAAAACATGGAGAGGCTGCAGCTCCTTAAAAGAGCACATAAAAAAATCATTTTATGTGGCAGACTTACACTCAATTGACTTTGAAATTGAATGAAAACTAAACATTTGCATCAAAAAGGCGACTTGTACACTAGTCTACATTAGATATTTTAAAATAATACCCACCTCTTCAAATAGTTTATCTTCAGTTCTAGTTTATCTTCTTTTCCGACATGTTTGCATTAGTTCATAAGTAGTTTAAATATGGTTATCAAGGGGTCTATAAAGAATAAACTGAACAGGATCCAACAATTATCTAGTACAGTGTATCAAAACCCAAAGGTTGCTGTCTATTAAAAAACACTGTACTATGAAAGGATTGCATTTAAATTCTGTACTTATTTTTTTCATTTTGAAAATTTTTGAACTTTTCGGAAAAGTACCAATTGATGTGCAAAACTAAGATATATTTGCTGGGTTTTTTGACCAAAAAGATTGATACCACCTGTGTCTTATAGGCCCTGAACGTAACAACATACTCAAAGAAAACATAGGTTCTTTGCAATGTTGCTTCATCCCTGAATAGTTTGCATCATTTAACAATAAAAATGAAAGAAAATAAAATATCTTAAAATGGTCAGTTATTTTTACACATCTGACACTGATACGAATATCACTGAAATACCATCAGATTAGCTCAGGGAATAATGTGTAAATCCTCTCAGAGAATGCTTACACTTAAATGTGTCCTCTTCCAGTGGTCTGTCAAATTATTATTTGTGTTACAAGCAGTTTGCTTTTTCACTGCTGTAATTTTGAATGAAACAGACTGCATAACATCACAGGGAAAAATCTTGTTGACACAGCAATCACTGCGCCTGTGTTAGTGGTGCCAGTGTGTTTTCATCCTCCCCCACATGACTGATAATATGACAACATCTACCATATAGGAGAGACCCATCTACACTAATTAAATCTGCGGCTCTTTGCAACATCAGAACAACACTTGCAGAGCCTGCAGCAGTCACACAGCAGGAAGACAAAGGCTGGGGAGTTAAAGATGTACTTAAAGTGGCATAAATTGGAACAGTTAGCAAAAAACTTTGCAAAGTTTTAATACCAGGAAAGAAAAGCACGCCACATACTGTTAGAAGAAGTTCAGAATACCAGCTTTAATCATAATTTTGTTGTTGTGGTTTTTGTCCAAACCACCACCAGCAGACTGTTCAAAAATTCAAAAACCTATTTTTTATTTATATACTATGCATTACTTTTACTCTGGATGAACCCCAGAAGCCCTGGAATATTTTAACTTTCTTTGGTTTATCTTGTTTATGTTTTTAAGTACTGCCCACATTTTTAAAAATTCACAAAAGAAATTGTCATATTTTATCTTGTTTCTGGAAGGATTTACTAAAGGTCAGAGAAATTATTTTTCCATGAATAGAAGAAAGAATTTAACTTTATTGTCATTACACTGTCAGAAGTACAGAGCATCAAAATTCACTCTCTGCATTTAACCCATCCCCTTGGGGAGCAATGGGCTGCCATTGTGGGGCGCCTGGGGAGCATTGTGGGGTTAAGGGTCTTGCTCAGGGACCCAGGGTGGCAGTCTGTGGGAGTGGGGCTTGAACTCAGAACCTCTGGGACCCAAGCGCAATGCCTTAACCACTAGGCCACCACTCACTCACTCAGTCCTCATGACTCATAAATAAAACTAAAAAGGAAAATAATTTACAAAAATCAAAATACATTACCCTATCCTTATGCAGTGTTCAACTGCATTAGTACAGGTTTTGTTACCTTTGACATGATAGTACTATTTAGTTATTTTTGCTATATGTAAAGATTAACTTGTCTGAGATTTAATTTATATACGAATCCTCTATAAGGGCCTCAAAGATCTGATAAATATTAAGTAAAATTAATCATACAGTACAGAAAGAACATAGTGCAATATCAAATGCAGTATCATTGGATAATTAATCAGTGCTGTAATATCTAATTTTGTAACTGTATGCTGAATGACATAACACTTGATGTTTCAGGGTACTTCTGCTACAGAACGTTTTCTAATAAAAATAAAGTGTGTATGCTGTCAAATGCATTGGAAGGGGATTGTGTTATTTTCCAGTGAAATTGTATCTCTTTAGGCCACTAATATAAAACAATGATGGTAATTAGTGTTATTTGAGATATTTTCAGTCTCAAATTTTTGGCAAATCATCTTTCTGTTTTGTTCAGTTAGTACTCATTAAGTAGAATCATATGTGCTTGTAACTGGATTTAACAAAAAACTGGAATGGAAACAGTGATTGTGTATGTATATATTCAGATTTTTCTTTTTAAATGTTGTTGTAATATTACTGTGTTATGAAGACCCACAGAAAATCAGTGGCTTCTTTGTGAAATAAAGCAGTTCTGACTGACTGTTTACTATTTCCTCATACCAAGAAGATGTAAATCTCTGCAAGCAAATCAAATGAGAGATGGTAATAGCCGTCATTTAGTATTGGAGTTGTGTCAAGCTTCCAATGAGAATTCAGTATTTCTCTCATGCTGAAAAATTCATCTTCATATAAACGATAAGACTCATCTCTGCCCTTATAAACACTGAAAAGAATTATTTCCCCATGCATGTCTGACGATAAACTGATCTTCTGTCATTAAACCTGGCTGCGTGGAAAAATAAAACAAAGCAGATACACAGCTCCTATGGCTGACTGCACACATTCACATCAGGTTTGAGTGATTTTAGCAGCATGGCCATCGATCCGAGTGTACATTTGCGCACACCTTCAAAACTTATCTGAGCTAACGTGTAGTGAGTCATGTAGCTCTACTAGAGAGGGAGGGAAATCATTTTTTAATGCAAATGACAACCCAGGGAAGAGCACAGCCCTAAGTTGAAGCTGTTATAATGCAGATCTTCGAATCCCATCTGTTTCCATTTCCTTCTGCAAACACATTGGGCGTTTGCCTGTCTTATCACCCCTTCCAGGGAATCTCTGTTCTTTAGAACTGCTAAAGCATTGTTGTGACAATATTGGAGCTTTTTTGTTCTTAGGTTATAATTTATTTTCCCTAAACATCTGCAAGTTCTTCCTATTAAACCATTACCACAGTGCACACAGCTGTACCGGTGTAAGTTGTGTTTCTTTACAAGAGCAAAGAAAAGCGCCTGGATAAACCTTTAAGCTATCTGCTCGTCAAGGTCAAATCTATGAAAGAGAGATACAGTTGTGTCAGATTGTCACGGTTTCTTTTGTCTTCATCTTTTCATTGTTCAGGGTGGTGTTCAGTATGTTTACTAAAAACTGAAAAAAAAATTACAGATGAGGATAAACAAAGTGCAGCCAAAGGTATCAGTCATTGATACACACATAAATGTCACGATCGTAAAAGCTTCCCTGAGCTTAACAAGTGACAGGTGAACCTGCTACTGTTGCAAATTCAGAAGAAAATCCTGTATTTCTGCGATGAAAAAAGAAAATTTGGAAGTATTTTTGTAAAAAACTGCTGACAGATCTGGGGAGGTTGCAGACAGACTTAGCTCCTAGATTGCAGAAAGTGCAATTGATGGCTCTCCTTTTAAAGGCCAAACCAAAGTGGAAAGTCCGCTCAGCAGAAATCTCCTTGTGTGACAGATTACCAAGAACTCATGGCTTTATAACAAGCACAAACACACACACACATATACAGTCATTCTTAGATCTGTATATGGGCTCAGCAGAAATATCCAGTCACTCAGGTTAACATTTGTATATGAATACAGCTCACTCTTTTCTGCACAGGAAAGCCCAGAAACCTAAACTCTCAGGTCAGCTATGAGTAGAGGTTTTTGAGCAGGCTTCCTCTGAGGACAAGCATGGGGCCAATATAAAACAATCTACTTTAGTGTCTGGTCATGTTTAAATCAAGTTCTACCAGTACTGGAATCATTTCAATAATGATTGTTTTTTTTTCACCTTTATTTTAATCTCACGTTGTTTTAGCTTGATAGAAATACGCATACATCCTTAGAAACAAAGCACAGAAGAACCTACATGGCTGGAATTCTTATTGCATGCAATTTAATTTTGTTTTATGTGTGCGATATGATTTAAATTGCTTGGGGCAACCAAATAGAAAACCTCCTTAGGTTCAAGATAAAAGATCCTTTGGAAAGAGTACATCA